AAAAAATAGTAGTAGTTTTTTTAGTTTCTCAATAGATAGTTTTTGTCTCCACTGTCTAAGGCATTATAAGCGTCTGAAATACACTAATAAGCATGACAATAGACTTTCATATTTAAGCTGTACATGAGTTTGGAGGTTCTGCCCAGAGCATGCATATATTTTCAATGATAGTAAGTAGAAAATTAGTTTTTCACAAACAATAGTATCCTTATGTATTTGTGATGTGGTGGACTGTAAGGAATGAGAATCATATATTGCCATCACTCCAGTGTTAGATATTCATTGGCATTGATAATTAGTCAATTCAAAGATGTGTTAGTAGTATTATGCATAGCTATAATGTTTAGAACATCATGCTCGCATTGAAATACGTATACTTTGAGAAAGTTTGTTACGAAGTTTACTCGTGGAGTGAAGTCACATGCTATGATTAGAACCGGCGGAATATCTGAACCAGCGAGAGTAGTGCTTGAGTTTATGTGTCCAAGGACTTCAGGGGAGTGGCTTTTAATGGCTTTAGAATTATCAAGTCGGAGATTAGATGCGTAGGAGCTAGGATAGGCAAGAGAAATCGGGAGTAGCAATTGGCAAGATTCTTTGTCGTTTACATATTTGGTTGGATTATAGAGGTGGAAATGGTCATGAGGGAACTCGTAGTTATGATAAACGCTAAAAGGTTGCGCAAGAATATGGGCTGTTTTAAGTTTGAAGAAGTTAGATTGATTGAAGAGTTTTTCCGAGTGATATTGTGTAAGATTTCTCTTATAAACCTTCCGCAGAGTAATAATATAGATTAAGGAATTTTTTGTTCCCTTAATTTAAATTAAAGGGAAGAATGTTGAGGTTAACTCTTGTTAACGAGTAACCTTGGTTTTTGATTATCTTTAGCTAGTATCTAGTTACCATGTTGCTATGACTAGGGTATTTAACCCAAGTGAATTCACATTGTAAGAGGTTTTTTTGCCATTAGTAAATACTCTTTAGTGTGTTCCGGCTATGGGCGTGATCTGCTCCTCAGTGAATCAAGTTATCTCCGTGTCTATGTTTACTTTTTTTTATCAAGCATTAGATGTGTCTCGAGACACATATAATGTATGTAATCTGTATGTGTGTTTATGGCTATTTTGCGTGTATTAGATTGATATTTTAGTATAAAAAAAAATTTTAGATTTAGTTATGATGAATAAAGAAAAAAAATGATATAGTATAAGATCTATTGAAATGAAAATAAATTGATGATGAAAAAACTTTATATTGATATCTATTAGCATAAAATATATTAATATAAAATTCTTTTGTTAAACATACCTCCATTTCAAACAAACTTTACACATGTTATTTTTTTGTTTCATGTATCAAAGAGCAATGTTTAAAGTTAATTTGTTTATTTCATTACTACTTATTAATAATTGTTTTAATTTTCAATTAAAAAAAAATTATTTGGCAAAATCTCCAACAACAAACATCATAAATATTTTATATAATATAAACTATATCATATATAATATTTTTTAATATAAACTTTGAAATACCCAAATCAATATTGAAACTAGTTATAACTATATAAGCTAATATTTGTTAATTTAGTTAATACAAAATCAATCTCCAACATATCAATTAACAATGTTTTTACATTATAAATATAAATATTTGTTTTAAAAATAAATTCAATCAAAATTGAAATTTAGGTTTGAGTTTTACTATAAATTGTTGTAACGCTATAAAAGATTATTATGTATTGTATTATATTACTATTTAAAATTATGTGTGACTTATTATATGTATATTGTACTATTTTTAGATATATATTTCTAAAGTGTATTTTATTCTATTTTCTTGGCGATAAAAATAATAGGTTTTTTTCTCAATAAATTTACTTCTCAAATATTTTTAAATCTATTTGTTTCATCAGGTCATTAGTTTGAAAGTTTTATTAAATCAACCTAGGCATATTTCATTTTCAATTAGCTGTTAGTGCCACCGTAATGAAATTTTATTTATAATTCAATACATTATTTATAATATTATAGATTTATATATTTCTATATTTCTATAGTATTATTTGATAATTTTTAACAAATGTACATGCTAATCTTTTTGGGCACTTAAGTTCTTTTGTGCTTTGATTGTTTATACTTTTTTCTATTTTAAATTTTTTCTGGTTTTAGTTCTAAGTTACAATGGGGGTTAAACATTTGTTTATGTATTGGTACACTTTGATTTTCTGAAGCTAAATTTGTTATGCTTTTTTTTTCTAATATTAATTGTTTTTTATACATACAAAGCTTTTGCATGTAATATTGCATTTTGATTGCCAACACATAATTCAAAAATATATGTTGGCAAATAACAAATTTAGGAAAACTTAACAAATTTTGTTGTCCATAAACATTGATAACAAGTTGTTGTATGAACATCGCCCAAGTTTATTTGTGTTATCATCTAATTAATATTTTTCTTCTTACAGATTAATGAGAATTTTTGATTATTTGGGTCAATTTTTGTTATATATAAAAAAATCCCATTTTTTCATATTCGGGTATAGGAATTTCCAATGTGACTACACAGAGCGGTTTTTTGTTACACATTTCTTACTCAAGATAAAATAAATGAAGTATATGAATAAGATGAAAATCCAAATCAAAAAGTTTAGATGTGTGTTGTACAAACATTCATGACCGTCTAAAAGTGAGCAAATTTCAAGAAGTATGAGTAAATATAGGAGTCAAGTCATATTGTGTGGCGACTGCATAGTTAAATTTTGCAAAATGCAATCTTAGTAGCATGTAGACAATCTTTTATATTTTGCATGATATGACAATTTTCAGTTTTTATTTGTATTCACAGTATTTATCTGCATCTACATGAACAATATGTTTTTGCAAACAATTTGCAAATAGACTCTTGGTATCACGTTACATCCATTTTTCAACAATCTTATCATAAAAAATGATAAAACCAATTGCATTTTAAGATAACAAGTTTAAAATTCATCTGATTGTATGAAAAAATCATATAATTTTATTCAATGTTTTGTATTCTTTATTTTTTAAAATTTACAGATCACATGGAATTTTATTTTTATTATATTTTTTATTTGTTGATGGGAGAGTTTTAAATGTTATATTTTTAATTGTGGTTTTTTTCCAAAAATATATAATCCGAATTAAAGTGTATTTTTTGAAGAATGATTAAAATAACATCAAATTTTGAAAATATTTTGTGTTTGGTTCACAAATATTACGTATTTTTAATATCATTCACGTCTACATCATTAACAGTCAAAATGTTGCAAGATATGTCACATTTGCAACAAATAATGCTGTATAAACTGTAATAATCTATCTTGTATTTTGGTTTAAACTATTATTTAATTTTATTTCATCTGAAAGTAAACACCTATAAATTTTTGTATGTTTTATTTCATATTTCTCTTTAGAAACTATATATATATATATATATATTCTACAATCTTAACTAAAATCACATATGATCAAAAGTCACATGAATTGTTTATCTTGATTACTAAATATAACTATCACATGAGTTGAAAAAATTTAGATAACATTGTAACAATGTTGAACAAATATTGTAAGGGTTATCAACTTTTTTGGGAATATAACCATATTTTTGTCATATGAAACTAATCATTTTAGGAAGTCCTACATGCGTTATCTGATAAGTGATAACTGATTTTGATATTTGAGTTATGCTTTAATTCTGAAATTATAGCATTTCATATATGTGTGAAAACTTTAAAATTTTGAGATATGTTTTGCCTTTTTTTTCATTTAGATTATTTGCGATATTTTTTCTTAAAAGAATGCATTACTTTCCCACATCTTCATTTAATAAATGATATATGAACAATCTCAGGAAAATTGGAAGCGGGAAAATTGGAAAGACGTTGATAATACAGACTAAATATGATTTAATTTGTAAGACGTAATAATATGCATAAAATGTTTTTTACTTTGAAAATCCACATTTTGCTACCTGATGTTAGAAAATAGGATAATCCAAACAAAAAAGATTCATGCAAGCATTTTTTGTAGAATTTGTGTGTACATGAGTATTTAGTTTTTTCATCAATCACATAATGTAATAAACGAGAAATTACTACATATATGTAATTTAACATATGCATGTATTTCACCATTAGAAAAAAAATTGTTGGTAAGGAAATTAAAAATGTCAAAATAATATTAATCTGGGTCAAAGCGTGTTTTCAGAATGTAGAAAATTGGTTTATTATTCAAGTGTAGCTACTTCATATGTTTTGTTTCCATTAAGCTTTAGACACATTTCAGATTCAATTTATCCAACATCATTTTGAATTGTAGTTCTTATATAATCATAACTCTAACCTACATACAACTGAAATTCCTTCACTGAATCAAGATCAAATCATAGCAGTATTGACCCACTCGGGGGAAAGGGGCAAACCCTAAAACTGAGCAGGCTGTTGAGACGAACTGCATGTTGTAGTCGATATACACGTGGGATACGTGAATCAAGGGCGTGCCTAAACCTCCAATCTACAGTATATATGTTTGTGCTAATCTCTGCTCTCCAAAGAAGGTCATCAATTAATAAGGGGGCGGAAATTATGGAGACGGTTCGTTCTCTTACATCGTGTAAATGGTAGGATATTCCGAGGGCTTCGTTCGTTCAGGTAAGGAAGGAGGAGTACCGAAACGCCAAGCCTTTCTGCACAAGTTGTCACCCATTCATAAAAGCAGGACACCAACTGGAGAAAGTGTTGACTAAGAGGCGGAAATGAGACAAAAGGTCTCGAGACTACATTGCGTCCATGCACTTCGAATTTTCCGCTCGTTTGTGTTGTGTTGGGCCGCTTTGTTTAGAAGTGTGGAAATTATATTTCCTACCTCTGATAAAGAACATAGAACCCAACCAACATTCTCATGCGGATCAGTCACATAATCAAGAAATGAAGACATGTTCCTCTCGGGCACCGCGAGGGAGAGCAAATGCTGGCTCATAAAGAAACGTACAGCGCCTTGTAGATGCCGCTGTCATTGGCAATGGGAGCGAGGTCGTATCCGGAGGAGGAAACGTGAAGCAGAAGGCAGTGGGCGCGGTATTATTGGTCGTCACATCGTATCTCGACAGGCGCGTGCGACAGAGAGACGGCCGAGCGAGGGAGAGGAAGCATGTGTGGCAAGCGGCATCTGCTCTACAGGAATCGTGACACCGTACGCGAGGAGGAGCCCAGGGATAGGTCCGTACGAGGAATGCATACAGTACGTCGTGTACTGGAATGACCGTGTCTCCGAAATGAATGCATCGCGAGACCAGACAACATGAAATGTGCCGAGATTGCGAGATGAGCCGAGAGTCGTCTGACATGACAGACGAGAGAGTTGGAGAGCGAGCGAGCGAGAGAGGGGGAGAGAGAGAGAGAGAGAGACTGCAGGCAGGCAGGCAGGCAGGCCAGCGAAGGGCCGGGCGGGGCAGGGGTGACAGAGTTCAGGGAGGAAGGGAGGGGAGGGGATGGATCAAGAGAGGAAAGACGGGCGGAGGAAATATTCCCCTTTCATTCTCTCCGACGAGGATACAGTGCAGCAGACTGTGAAAAGGCGTTGTTGTTTCTGTCCGGGCCACAGCACCAGAACAGTTTCTGTACGTGCTGCTGACAGTCAGGGAAGGTCAAGTTGGAGTGCGTTGGAGCTGTAATCATTACCATGGGTCAAAGGAATTCCAGCACTCTCCCGGAATTCCATCTTCCGGAAGCGACGGGAGTATGATCCGAGAGGAAAGCCCGAGACTGGTTTGCGGGGGCCGGGCCGACGCGCGCGGAGCAGAGCAGAGCAGAGCAGGCAGGCAGGCAGGCAGGCAGGCAGGCAGGAGGGAGGGAGGGAGGGAGGGAAGCCGACGCAATGCAAGGCGTGCCGCCAGAATCAGCAGCACCAGGCATGAGGCAAAGAAAGGAACAGAGCAAGGCGAGACCCGAGTGGAGTGTCGGTCGTCGACGGATTCCCTTTGTGCAAGAATCGTCGCACCCGGTTGGTTCGTGATAATGGGCGGGGCCGAGGTACCGCTTGGTGACGTACGCAGGCAGCGTGATGTAATATACTGTACCCCAGAGAATGCATCACATTAGATACATAGAGTTTACCTCCTGCCGCCTCCCCAGCTCCTGCCATGTCGGGACTCGAGTCTCGTACGTGAGAGAATTGTTGGTACAGTGAGGAGGACAGCCGGGCCTGACTCGACTGCAGAGAGCAGCAGAGAGAAAGAGTCGTCTAGGGCAGAGAGAGAGAGCGAGAGAGGGAGGGAGGGAGAGAACGAAGGACAGGGAATTGTAAAGCGAATCTCCCAAGGACACAATACAAAGCAGTAGGAACGGAGCGGGGCGAACACGAAGACGATCCGGACTAATGTTGCCGCAGTGTCTCGCGCAAGAGCGACGGAGACGAGAAGCCCACAGGAATTGCGTTGGAAACGCACCAGCGTTGGTCTCCTTGCTTGTGCGCTGTTGATTCTCATCGTGCAAGGACGGGAAGAAAGTGTCTTCCTCTGGCGCGGCCCTATCCTGGGCAGGAAGGAGGAGATTGGGAAAAATTGTGTCCTGTTCAAGCAGGGCGGATACGGGCAGGGAGTCGAGGAGTTTGAAACAAATCAGCGAAATAGAAAGAAAGAGGGGGCGGTGGGCGCGTCTGGATTTGGGAAGCCTACTGTCGATACGAGGTCCCGAGTAAAGTGAGCGGTGAAGCTAGCGAACTGGAATACAGGCGGAGTTAGTCGTGTACCTCGTACAAACTTTCATGGGAGGCCACTTGTTCACCTCTTATTCGTCTCCAGGCCTGTATTATTACAGCACTGAGTCGGTGGCCAGCATCTTCTTTAGTCTTGTTCCGAGTCATCAGCGACAACTGCTTCCATATGTGTGGCTACCTTGAGTCCCGCCTGAAGGCCTCATCATCGATTCTTGCTAAGAAATCATAATCCTGCTTATGTCTCCCCATATCTCTATATTCGTCAAATCCGTGTAAGGCTCCTTCCCTCCTGCCTGTTTCCATTCTGTTCTCCCCCACTGTCGTCATTGTCCAAGGGAACATGGAAATAAGGGCTTGAAATCTTTGGCCAGTTTGCAATCCTTCTACTCAAATTGTACATGAGATTCACACGCCAGGTTACCTTACGACCGCACTCTGCTTTACACACGCGGTTCCTATGTGATCCCGTGATTGCACTGCTACACCACACAGCAGGAAGGACCTGCCACGGATGAACATTGACGTAGAAGAGTCGGCTCTTGGCTAGGCCTACCAGAGCAGCGGGCAGAACACCATGGGTCAGGTGTTGGACTTCATGTGGTACACGTTTCTTCTATACTCCTCAGATGCATAACGTCATCGCGAGAGTTGTTAGAAGCATCGGCTTCGCTGCTGTGTTCAAACCATATTTCCTGAATCTTTCCTGGACGTGCAGTGATTGTTTGACCTCCAAACTGTGGGCGGCGAATGGCTTCCACATGGCTTCCGCCCTGGTGTGCTCATCCCCATTATTTGTCAGATTGTCATCTGTACCACATCTTCCTACCTGTGTACTGCTCTGTGGACTTTGTGGCGATCTGGTTTATAAAAAAATGCCTTACCGAAACTCAGAGCGGTTGTCAACTCGTTTGATTTCCTTTGGGTGAGGTAGAGTACGGATCATCGACTGGACTAATTTCACTGGAGCTCGTGCTAGTACAAAAAATCAGGGTGGAAAGTTGTATTACCTCAGAGTCAGCAAACAATCTCTGGACTGCCTTCCTGTAAATGGAAATGCGGCAGGATCGGCTTAGAAATTAAGCTTGCATCATTCGTGGTGCTAATTCGACATGTAGGCCCGGAAAATGTAGGGGTTGAAGGCTCATGTTTATGCATCGGGCGAGTGTGGTCTTACCGGCCTTAAGTGATTGATGCTTTTAAAAAGTACTGTGAGTTGTTTTTCAGAAGAAGCTCACAGTCTTCCGCTACTCTCAAACCATACTGGTCAGAGCTTGTTACATGTTCTTGGCATCTAGATTTTGCACTTCTAGCGTTCTCATCCGGCTGTTCTGGCTGGTCGCAGGTTCGATGGGTTCTTCTTGTCAATGCTGGCGACAAGCGTGTATCCTTCTACCAGTTGCTTGTTACATTGGGTAGTTTTCGATAGCGGTCGATCACGCAATTGTCCAGTCATTGAAGCTTTTAGATCTTATCAAAGAGGCGCCTGTAGATTTAGAAATAGAAGAGGCCAAACGTCGACACGCCGAACTCGTCGGGGCATTGTGCGCTGTAACATTGCGGTGCTGTAGCTCATCACAATTGAACTGCACGAATGGTGTCTTTTTAGGACCTCCCTGCTACAGGTCTTGTGGACTGGCAGTTTGTTTCTGGAGTTGAATGTCGAAATATTGGTCCGGTAGAAATTGTAGAAAAGGATAGTTAGGGAGTTTGTCTTTATTAAGTTCGTGTTGTGAAATCAGCGTGAACCTTAACCAAGTTTCATGCAGTATTGTGGTATCAGTGAATTGGCAGCGATATAATAAGTGTACATATCCACTCCACATATGGATCGTGGTACGTGTATTTTCCCTCTTCAGTTCGATTATTCCTTTGCTCTGCGATGTATGTCAGGAATTTCTCCGTTTATTTTAACATAAAAAAAATCCTCGGGGCCAAAAATTTCGCCGTGGCAGAGACATACTGCTTCCCAGTTCTTCTCTGTTTTGCTTTCTACTCATAAGAGAGACGCTCTGAAACCCTTATTGCAATTCACTGTCAACAGGTGGACTATGCAACAGTTTTCCTTTTTCGTGTATTTATGTTCATCGACAATGGACTGGCAGCGGGAATGGGACCGTAAGTGGTGCACATCCATTACATGGTTCTTGACCCTTTTGTGATGTATACGCCTTGAGAGGAACAGTTTTTTGTATCAAATCAGTATCAGATGGTGGGTTACGAATTATCGTTGATATAAGCAGTCTTTTCATGCTTTTACGTACAAGACGAATAGACTTAAGTTCCTTTCATGAGTACCGAGAAGTCTGTGCTGCCCCACCTAAAGCCTTAACTTGGGTTTTTTGGAATTAGAGTAACTGGAGCAAAGGGGATCTCTCTCAACTTCCATGCGTTTTTGGTATCATATATAACGGAAGTCACTCCTTCTAAACTTTGTCTTACTATATCGTATTGACAGGGACGCCAGTAGGGAAGAGAGGGATTCACGTTTTAAAGGGCGAGTAGCAGTCATCTCATTCCTCACTTTTATACTATACCCATTCCTGTGGGCTTGGACGGTGATTGGAAGCCTCTGGTTTACAGACGCCAAAACTTGCGTAAGAGATCACAAATCATACTTGTACTCTGTAGTTTGATTTTAGCTGCAGGGAATAATACCGGATGGTGGTACGTGCGGTGAGGTTGCATGCTGTTGCATATATCTTCAGATCTTTTTCGTGTTGCATTTATCCAGAGCCATCTTGTCGACCTCATAATAGAAGATGTATGCTCTGTTTATGCGAACTTCAGCCGTTTGTGGTCTATTTCCCGGTTGGCAAAGAAGAAGGTGATGTGCAAGTACTTACTCCGCTTAATCTTGTGATTCCGAACATGCGCCTGCAGTTGCCAGAAGAAGGCCAAAAGTGGGGATTTTTGATATGGCTGGTTTTCAGTTACTGTGGATTGATTTGCGTGGCCTGCATCTCCGCTGGCAAGGTATGTGTACATGCGTTCTTCCCCTTCTCATAAACTGGGGACGCTGTCTGTGCAGTTTGATTTTTTTTTTCCTGTCGTGTTTATCGTTCTTTCCTGTTATAACACATGGATGAGCGTTCACCTTGTTTGAGCTGGCAGTGGCTATTGAGGCGGCAAGCACACTTGCAATTAGTTTCACACGGTTCTGCTCCAGTCTCTGAATTTCAGGTGATTGCTTGTGTGAAATTTAACACGCTCATAGCCGCCATCTGCGTATTACGTCAATGTATGGTTGCCATGTGCCCTTTACAGCACCTATGTTGTATAATATCTCCCAAGCTTGTACTGCTGCAAGTATCAACTTTGAGCCGATGGAGGCCTGATTCTTTGTAAGCGGAAGTGTCCAAACCAATATTTTTCACATACCTTGTCTTAGGATGTACGTCTTCGACTGTTTCGGTTCTTGGGGCGAATGAGAACCAAGACTAGATCAAAGAGTCGGGAGCTGTAAGAGTTGGGGATGTTTTCGTTGAGTGAAGTAGCACTTAGTGTTGACAGGGCATGTCGGAACGGTTGGAACGTCAAAAGTGCTCTGTATTCCAGAGGTTTTTTTGTTTACAGTTCCAGATCCGTTCCAGATATTTCACTTGTCGTAAGATACAAAGCCAGGAGTTTTACAGCAACTTACTACACGAGACCATTCATTCAGGAAAATTGTCCCGGGCAATGTAAACTTATATCTCGTCCTTGTGCAGGTCTTGTTCGAGCTGATCAGGGTACCTGATTGGGCTTTTCTCTCGGTGGCCTCTGGTCAAGAGAACAATATTGGCCAAGGAGGACAGGATACAGTTTCGTATCATCCCGGGCTCTACTTGTCCCCTTTACAGGTATAGAGTTCTGAAAAGTTAATTAGTCCTGTCATGTGTCGGTTGTCGCTTCTGTCAATATTATGGGTGAAATTCGCCCTCGTTCAGTCATTGTTGATCTTGTCAGTAATAACATAAATTTACCTCCATTCCGTTTTTTCGAAAGATCAGCTTGGAAGCGTCAGGCATGTCCTAGTGACGAATGCGGTCTCGCAAGATATAATTGTAATTCTTTATGTTTCGTTGCTGTATCAGAGAGAAGAGGTAGAGAAACTCATACAGGAACTGCCCAAATTTCGGCTTAAAGGGGTTCCGTCAGAGTGCACTGCCTGCCCGATTTGCTTAGATGAGTTTGAGGTTGGAACTGAGGTAAGGCCCGGAAATTGTTGTTGACAGAGAGAGTCTAGAAGGGTTCATTTTTCGCTTGGATGGTTCTTGAATCATTTTTTTCGCATCATGTATGGTTCGTGATCCATATACCTTTCCAATTGGCTAGGATTCTAGCTAGTAGAATTCGTGGCTGGAATATTTTAGTACATGTTGTAGTAGTTATTGAACCCTTCTGCGTTTGATGGTTATTTTTTGCTGCGTCGTGGTACGAAATATTGTGTTCATTCTATATACTAATATAGCCATCCACTCGGGCGGCTTACAGGTGCGAGGCTTGCCATGCGCACACAACTTTCACGTGGCTTGCATCGACGAGTGGTTGCGGCTGAACGTGAAATGTCCTCACTGTCGCTGCCCTGTATTTCCGGAACTTGATTTTTCAGCTGGCACGCCATCCCCCTCTCAACCGTATCCTGGAACTGAGCGTGGAAGTGGGAGTGGTGGAATGGGTTCAGTCCAAGGTGGGTCAGCCTCTACTAATAATCGAAGTCGGCTCATAAGAGCCCACCCTGGTCTTGGTCAAAGCAATCTATTAAGGTTACAAGATTTATTGAGAACCATGCATAGCCGAGAGCCACATTTTGAGGAACCTGTTGCAAACGTCCCACCTCAGGAGACAAATTACTCTGAGACGCCTCAAGGGCCTGACCAAAGTTCTTTGAGCTTGACCCTGAAAGTCGATGATGGTAATTCTGGTGATGCAGAGGCTCCTCCCGATACGGCGTTGAGAGACATTTCTTCTTTCCAAATAGGCGGTTCTGGTGGTGCAGAGGGTTCCAGACATCACATGGAACCTCCCGTGGTGGTCGTAGTAGATAGATCGCCTCTTGATCGGATGTAGGTAGTGCGCAGGTCAGCTTGTTAAGGTATTGTGTCCTGTTGTAATTCTAGAGCTTAGATATTCTTTCCGTTCAATTTTTGAGAAAAATGGTCCGATTAAACAGATGGCAAATTCGTACATGCAGCCATGTTTCAGGATTTGCCTGTCAGATATGTTCATTTTCGTTTCTGGGTGCATTTATTAAGAATCCAGTTACCATTACAACCATTATGGTTCTTTGAAAGCATGAGTTGGCTCTTCGAAGCTCCTTCTGTGTCTGAGAAGTCTGCCGAGGCCACCTTTTCCCGGGAGCACGTTCAGTATATTCCAAGATCGATTGTACAGTATCCAAAGATGGGAGTGACACCAAATTTTATACCTTTTCCAACGAGATGGATGCCGTGTACTTCCCTACACAATTGTACGTGAACGAAACACGCCTTCCAATTACTAACAAGTGATTCATGCTCTTGCTGTAAAGTCGTTGAGGCCAGGTTCGCTCCTTCGTCTTGGTGGTTGAAAGCGGTCGCAGAAGTTTTCGTAGTTATGTTCAAATGTTTTACATCCAGTCTCTCTTTGAGTAATTGGAGGGCCATATATAGAGTTTCATTCGAGACTTCACCCTCTGTCAAGAAAAGCTTGTTGTTGCTCAACGTGTAGAGTTTGACACTGCCGACTTTGTTCGGTTGAGGCGGCCTCACTTGTTTTACACCGGGGCTTCTTCTAACGTTCAAACGCTTCGAACAGTATGAGATGTGTACGTCCGGCGCACCTCACGGTCTTTCAAGCATATAGCTACTCATTCAAATGGGGCCTAGCTCTATCAAGACCTTATACTCTTTACTCAGGTATGTAAAGCAGGCTGAGCTTGCCTTCCCACCTGAATGATGTGACCATTGAGTTCTACGAGGATCCGCCATCAGTGCCCCATCTCCGAGTCCAGCTGCAATCTCTGCCCAACCAAAATCTCGTCACAAATAGTGCCTTTCTTGAAAATGTGGCCAGTTTGTGCGATCGACTTGGACCTGGAAGGTCATCAACTGGGTGATTCCTGGATTGATGTCGGGGTACAACTTTTTCTTTCCTTGGGAAGCGGATATGCTCGAGATTCAAATTCGACACTCTGCCTACAAAAGTCGCCGCACACTGCAGCTACGCGCAGGGAGTGCTAACACCATGGGGAAGAGTTTCAAACTAGCAAATGCTGAAACCAGTGAGTGATCAGGAAAATGTGCACACGAACGGAAGAAGCTGAATCTTCTCTAGGCTAGGCGCGTGCGTAGACGCTGAAATACGAGCATCATATCCTGAAACTTAGCCGGGCCTCGAGGTCTCCAATTATCCGAAGGCGAGGATTTTCAAGATGTCAGAGACCGATCATTTCACCGACAGAGGCCGGAACTGTCAATCAATCACGGCTTGGACCTGAGGCCAATCGGAGCAAGAGAGAAAGGAATTAGAGGAAACCCTGAATGTTCAGTCTCCGAGAAGAATCTCGTGTACGACAGCAGACAAACGCAGCGACGCGAGTCGACGACCAACAACTCCATCGAGCGACATGTACTCACTCCCTCACACGAGCCTCGTCACGGGCTCCCGGGCCCGACAACCGTTCGAAACTTGAGTGGCAAGCAAGTCTTCATCCGCGGCGGAAATTCAAACCTGTAACGCTCGCAGCGCCATCCATACATACCATGCGATAATACGGTGTACACAGTACGAGACGAAGCGTATCATCGTACAGGGAGACGGAGGCAAGAAGTACTGTGGTGAAGTGGACTACGGTGAGCTCTTGGCTTTCCCGCCTCTTCTCTTGTCTCTCTCGTCGGGAGCTGCGTACGTGCCGATTTTCAAAACCCTCTCGCTCGTCGTCGTCTACTCGAACCCTCGCTCTTCTTTCTTGCTGTCCGCTCTCCTTCTTCTTTCTCTCAGAGCTGGAGCTCGCAGGAGCCAAACGCGCGGAGCCTGCCTCGCAGTGCAGCTGTGCGGCTGTTAGACGATGCAGCGAGGACTCGATGAGTGACTTCGTATCCTGCCTCGAGGCGCCGTCGACATCATCTTCGCTGTGAATTTTATAGTGGCGGAGGATGGCCGTAGAGTCCCGGTCGAGAGAGCTGTGTGGAAGGGGCTTCTGTGAATGAGTTCGGAGGTCGAATCTGGATTTTGTTCCATTTTCGCCCTCTCGTTTCTTGGACGGATTCGAGTGATCTTTCTTTGAGCCGGTGAGCGGGGGAGCTGCTCTTTGCCGTGTTTACGAGTGGTCACGGCCTTCCCCGATGGTTACTGCCGTGTCGTCGTTGGTTTGGAGGGACGTCGTGGGGAAGAGGTGGGCGAGATGTGCAGTGTGGCTGGCGGTGACCACTTCTGTGGTTTGGGTAATATGGGAAACCACAATTTCAAGGCTCGTCTCCCATTCTTCTTCTCAGGGAAGCAGCGAGACAAAACAGTACTTTATGCCTTCTATGTGGGCCTTAATTAGGTTTCTGGTTTTCCAGGCTTCTCAGCTGCTGTTTTTGGTAGGACAAACCTTCGTCTCAGAACCCGAAGAAGCGAATGCAGCGTCTCTCGCATACTTAGTCGGTAAATTTTTGAAGCTTGCGTGGAGAGCCGGTGTAGGTCGTACACGAGGGGATGATTTTTTTAGTGACGTCGCCGAATTAAGGCAAAAGCTACGAGCTACTCTTGATCATGCTTCATATGTCACAATGTGTGTCCTTTCGGGTGCGATGGCTTTCTCTTCCCTTATGTCGTCCATCCACATGTCTTCTGGAAGGCTGAATCCACTAAACATTGGGGTCCGCGGAGCTGCATTAGGTCTGTTGTACGCTGGTTGGCAATTTTACCACTCCAATGTCACTCTTCGCTTCCCGATCATCCAGGTACGGACACTATTTTAATCAGCTCTCACAGGATATGTATCGGTTTCAAGTGACTGCTATAACGAAATTTGGCACTTATGCATTTGATCCGCTCTCCTTGGAGCAAGTCACGTAGGGGATTCCCATTTGGATCGCAACACCAGCTTTTTTTGATTCTGATCCACTGTAATTTTACATGATGCAGCGTCGGCTGTTTTTCGCTTTCAAGATGAGAATACCCGAAGCTCTAAATTTCAGCCTACACATGGCTTTGATCTTGTTGCCTCTCGGAGAAACTTTTGCCCGAATTGTCCCGGATGCTGCGCCCGTCCCTGCTCAAAGCACCTCAGACAGACAGGTCGTTTCTTTTTTGTGGCGTCAGTTACTGTTTGCAGCCGTTTCCTTCTGCGTAACATTTAGCTGGGAATCCTGCCATCAACTGATCCAGGTATGTCTTTCCTTCGTGAATGTTGTAAAGTATGTTGCGATCACTACAAATACATTTCGACCAGTAAAGGGGCGAGCGGAGTTCTCTTGAATGTTGTCTAGTAAAGGTTTTCCAGTTACTCTTTATTGGCCCATCTACACGTTGAAAACTTACAGTACAGAACTCTTCTGTTAGGCACGTAGCTCCTGTATGTCTAAAAGAAGTTGCCATTACGTTTTTTGACGTCTTGCGATATTTACCTCGTCATCGGATTAGCCTCGCTGCGACGTAAGTCCGTACACTAATATTAATGGCAAACTTGAAGCCAAGGTTATCCTCGGAACCAAGGTCCTTGCGTTTGATGTTTAGTTTAAGTCTAGTAGCTTGCTTGGAGCACGAATGTTGGACTAGTACCACATCCTGACAGAAACAAAGCAAGCAACAAGCTTTCCTGCTATGTCCTTTAATCTCATCTCACATGATTCTGATGCTATCGACATGACAGGTCATACAAACCAAACGACACATCCTTGCTCCTCCTCTAGGCTCAGCTGCCGCCGAAACTGATCCTACCGACCTGCTACTTATGGTTCTGGAGGAATCTGACACAGGATCCCTGGTCCAGTATCATGCATATCTGGATCTCTGCGTTGTTTCTGAGTCTAATGTGGACACTTGGAGGCGGGCGGCGTTTTTTGAAGAATCAGGGGACACCTACAAGAGACTTATCAGCGCATGTCTGAAGAAGTTGGATGGGCTGACTCTAAGACTTGCTCAAGGCTTGGAAGTTGGCGAGTCTGAAAAGGGTGCAGATCTTCTCAAGCAGCAGATGCAGTCTTCTCCCGGAGACAACAGACACTACGCTTTTCAGCTGGGGAATGTGAAGGCTTACTTTCAGGACTCTCAGGTCTCCTCCGTTGCCTCTCGTGTGATGGATGTCTCTTATGAGCACGGCTTCAGGAACAACTTTCATCAGCGTCAAGTTGCTTTGTATACCCCACGATGTCTTGGAAACCACGCTTGTACATCAACAGAGTTGAAATCCAGGGAAATTGTGAATTTAGCTGTTCTTTTCAGTCAGTAGCAGGCTGTCGCGTTTTGTCTTGCTGAAGCCTTTTTCGGTTATTTGTGAGCAGGTCTGTTCGTGGTGTGCTAGGACGGTCGCATCCTTAACAGCGAGCTCTCGATACGAGGACAGGTATGGTGTGGCACAGTTGCACGGCTGTAACACCGCGGTTGTTTCTTCTCTGTTATCCTGCTTGCTCGTGATCGAAGTGTACTTGGGAAGGAGAAGTACTGCCAGAGGCGCAATATTTGTACCAAACAGTATCAAGTGGACGGTCCCCTCGAGAGGGACATTTATGGAAGTGGGGAAAAAGCAGGGCTACCCCTTTGGCAAACGGACGGTTATGCACAAAAAAGCTTATGCTATGGCCGATGTTCTCCGGACGTCTCTTTACCAAATTGTTTCCGTTTTTGGTGACGAAATGGTACTGGTAGGGCCTTCTGGGAAAGGGAATACAATCGCGGAAAGAGATTGGCTCAACCGTAAGAAGCCTTTATACGGCACTCATGAGATGCATCTGCAAAAGTTGAGTATGTTCTTAGAGTATCGGATTGGGTAGGTCCTTGGGCATGTGTGCCAATCAACACGAGTTTCAGCAAGTTTTGTAGTCTGAGTGATATCCAATTACCCGCGCGCTAAGATCCACCAATTACGCATCGCAACATTTAAGTGTGTCAGGAAAGTTCCACCTTCTGGCTCATTGACGTAACCTGCGTTCTCTATAGTAAGAAGAAACTGCTTGATTGAACATACTTAGCAGTGTGCATGCATTAAATGCACAATATAGGTGCAGTCATTGTCGAACATCTCAGCAGTTTTGCAGGGCTTACAGCAGCAGTAGATTCGCTCCTGATATCACTTGACTGGTCGAGGTAGATGTCTAAGCACCCGGAGATGACCTTGTACCATCAGTAGTATGTCCAGATGTAGAGTAGCGAGTCCCCCCTCAGGGATGCGTGTAGGAGTCGTAACCTGTGAATATTTTTTCTCGGGAGCCTGTCTGTCGGAAAATTGGGCAGGCTCAAAAGGCCCAGTGATCATTGTTGGGGCCTTGATTCAGCTGGTCAATCAATTTTGCAGCTTAATGGTTGTACGGTTCGAGACCCACGCCACTTGTGGGGACCTTGGACATTCAATCCCAGTCCTACACTTTTCATATTCTCTTATCTCTGTGTTTCTGCGGAGATAGCGACTAAGCGATGTTTTGAAAATGTTATCGGCTTAACTCGTTTAATTGTATGTGATTCACCTACATTGGATGCGTGTCGCCTCGTATGCCCGTCTCTAAGTGTCGTTTGTCTGGTGTCAGAAATAGGTAGTCCTTTTGTAGCTTTTAAGAATTTTACTGTTTACTGTGTGTATTTTAGATAGGGAGATGGGTTTGAAGGATGTGGTTTCCTATGTGATTGTTTCACTTACAGATACCTCTCGGAATAGTACAAAAGAGTTCAAAAGAAATGAATGGAGAAGGAATACACAATTTCCCCCGCTCTGAGACCTCCACGAAGTCTCAGGACTGCTGAGTTTAATACAGCTGACTCACCTGAGACAGTTATTTTCGTACGCCTTACCTTGAGTGGCCGTTCGCAGAAGTTTCTATTGAAGCTGGTGTGCGTAAAGCTGATGGCAAAAGATATATGGTTATGGATGAAGTCGTCAGATTTGTTGAACGTAAATTTCTTGCAAGATGTGCGAGGGACGCGAAAATCATATCTTTGAGTTGAAACAGAGCTCGTTCAGCGGATTGTTGGCTCGCACGAAGGAATGTTCGGGCAAGCACACAACCGCTAATATCTTTACTTCAATATATATACATCATTCGAACCAAATGATCCGAATGATGAACATTGTCAAGCTAATGTCTGTATACTGTCAAATATTCCACTCACTCCTGTCCATCAAAACGTCCTCGCACGTACAGAATTCTAAATGATCGGCCGCCTTCGGACGATCGAATATGCGGCAGTCATCAATAACCTTCCAGTTCCGAAATGATCCCACTACCAAACTGCTGCTGCGAAGAACGTTTTTCTGAAGAATCTGCTGCGAAAAATGTCTCTCAGCGTCTTCATATGTTTTTGCAAATGGACGGGACATATTTTTCCCATCGCATCTGCCTCATGCTCATCCTCATGTTCCTGTCGACGTGAGTGGCCTGCATTGAAAGGGCGATGCAGAGGAGCCATTGCAATTCTTTCAGCACAATTTCCTTCGGTGACCTCGTGGAGGTAAATGTAATGAGGTTTAGGGGCGCACTAATTTCCAATGAAGGGCATCGAGGAGGGGGAGCTCGGAGACCAGGAGCAGCCTGGCAGGGACACCTGTAGCCGCTGCCAGTTGAGAGGCTTTGGGAACTTTGGCGCTGATATCAAATACTTTCACCACCACCCACAGTGATACAGCCAGCAGAAGCGTCACATTCAAGCCGCGCAATGAATACAAAGAGGAGTGCCCGAGAGTTCGCACACGCCTCTTATAAACGTGGAAGGCTATGTCACAGCTCGACGCATTGTCCAGTTTTAAAGAAGTATGCCAATTCCGCAAAGTCTGCTGCAGTTCATATGTTGTGACAAACACAGACTGGCGCCTCTTTAAGGACGACAGCTTGTCCAGCAGGAGAGTGTATCGTAATTCTAAAGCCCTCCACTTCTGCATCTTTCTTGCGTCCATTTTTGAGCTCTGGAAACACGAACATCTTTCACAGGTCAATTTAGTCCAATCTTCATGTTCATCGTTACCTGCTAAGAGTCCTGGGGCCAATGGATGCTCACGTTCCTCAGACCTCTCTCTGGGTCTGCTTCTGTCATTGCTATGATCAGGAGAACGGAGGTAAGGCTGAGCCATTCTTCTACCCTTGAAATCTTCCAACCTTCCATTCCGCGAAGGCTGGACGGGTGGTAATAAAATTTCAACCACCCCAGGATTAAAAACTTCGGGTCTGGTTGAGCTTCCGAGCTTACGTTTGTATCGTGAACAAGAACATTCGACTGATATTTCCGTCTGCGGTTCTCGCTCAAGGTGCTGAAGAGGCTGAGTATTGGAATTCAAATTTCGAAGAAGATCTGCTATTGAAGCCTCTTCCTCAGGAAGAGGCTTATAACGAGCTCCAAGTCGCTCATATACAGATTTAAAAACGTGAGCATCTTCTTTTATTGCCGAAGGCGATAAGATTTGCGGCCCAGGTTCTGCAAAAACAGTCTGTCACAGTGCAGAGTAATTGTCATTTGAGTATTCTTGCCTCGAAAAGACGCCTCGACGTAAAATGGAAACTGAGAAGTATGCAAGTTCACCAGGGGTATGAGAGGATACATCACTGACCGGCTCTAGTTCTGCTACTCTGGGTTCGAGAACGTCTGGAGTAGGTGGGATTGGATCACCTTCCTCGTTCGATGAGGAAATCAGACCTCGTCCATCTGCAGTCAAGCCTGCTACCGTATCTGCTCATCAGTTTCGAGTCCGGGGGAGACATCAGAGAAAGAAAGGGCACGAAAGGAAAAGGAATACCGAGAGAATCCCGCACCTGATAAAGCCGCCATGACTTTTGTTCCAGTCTATCGGCCCCGGAAGAAGTGTCGAGAATGCAGAGCTCGGACCAGAACCAGGCAAACGTCGAACAATCTGCCAATCCCGTCCAGAAACTGCGCTCTCGAGCCACGCAAGTTATGTGATTATAAAACGAGATCGTCACCGAATGTCACGCGAAAGTAACACCCCAAACGAAAGACGGAAAGATGAACCGGATCCCAAACCTTCCCCGTGGAGCAAAGAGGACAGACAGCCTTTCGACGTGACTGCACAACTCCCACCAGGCCCTCGAACTTCTGGAAGCAAGAGAGCAGGAAGTTCGATGATGATCTGTTCCTTGTAAATCACAAGATGGAAGCGATCGAGCACACGACAATGCCTCGAAGAGTGCGAGCCACGAACGAGTTTCCCAGTGCAATGCACCGATTGCCGTCCCACGAGAGCACCAGTCTGCCCCGAGCTGAGCTCGATCTTTAGTAGTCAGAACTGGATTCTGAATGCGCCTGCGGCCTCGACCGCGCGCCATCATATGCCCGCACGCCCGCGGACGTTGCCCTGCCGCTTTTCGAACTCGGCCCGCTCCCCCGTTCGAACTCCAACGTTCGGGGCGCGGCTTAAGCCATCGGACTTGGGACGGCTCCCTCCGTTCTTGAAATCGTGTCTGCGCCTCGGTGGACACGCTCTCCCGTGCCATCGGTGGCACGAGAACTCTTCTCGACTGCCTTCGGAGTTTCGTGCTTCAGTCCTCGGCAACCTTTTTGCAGTCGCGTGCTCGTGCTCGTGCTCGTGCTCGTGCTGGCCTCGCGCTCCGGTGGCTCGCGAGATTATTGGCGACAGGGTGTTTCACCAGTTCGCAGATTTGTAGTGTTCTTTTGTTTCACGCTGTCGTTGACGGCGCTTGTGTGCGCGTGTGCTCCGCACAATCATTCCTCGCCTCTCCTGATTTCACCTATTTGTCTGCCTGATCAATGTTATCGGCGACTGTTTTCTCTCCTTTCACGATTTGGTCACTTCCGAGTCATATCTGTATTGATCGCTCTGATTCCTTTCCGCATTGAGAGAATTTCTCGTAGTGTTTTATCTCAGGTTTTTTTCAAAATGCATTGTTACAGTTATTGTTCCACTATCTTCCTTCTCTCAATTCTCCCATGTTGCTAACTCTTTGGCGGTTTGGTACAATCGAAGAAAGCAGATGGGTCATTTTTCACTTCACAAAGTATGGTGTTGAGAGGGAATTAGTTTTTTTTCCTTTTAATTTTTTCTATATATTTTTCTCTAAATTTTTCATATTTTTGTAGATCTTTTTCACTACTGAAATTAGCCATACTCTTCGATAAACTTTGAATATTTTCCACTGACTCTTTGAAGGGGGTGATGTTTTACCCAGGATTCGCTCAAGTGATGGTGATAGTATTAACGAATGCGTTGTGATTATAATACAATGTGATGCAGGCCGGCAGTTCCTCCCGAGTACTCAACATCATTTGCTCATATGCTGATAATCGGTTACATACAGTACGAAATATTTCCAAAATATCCAAAACATACAGATAGAGCTGGACTGGCAAACAAATATTGGAAATGATAAAATACACCGCATTTATAAGTCACATTCATGAGGCGGATACACGTGGTGAAAGGAATTAAGTTTTTTCGTCGAGTAATAGAGAGGCCGTAGCATAAAAGATCTTACTTTTACAAAGCTGCATCAAATCTCGTGGCTCAGGCACGCATAGTGCCTCGGCCACTCGATCATCCAGTTCACGTCAAAACGCATGATCGCCAAGAGGCTTCAGACACTACCATGACCATCCTTTTTGACTGTAACAAATCTCTAGAATTTCGTGCTTCTTCTCAAGGCTGTACAAGGCACATGGCTCAAAAATTGAACCACAAGCACCTCAGTGCTATCTCTACACAGATGAAACCTCATCGATACCGTAGTTGTTAGTGTTCACACCGGCGTAGTTGCATTTCGTGAATCGCACGACCACTGGGTATCTCAGTCCTGGGGTCTACACAATGCAAGAATCAAAGGCGCAAATGAGCCCAGCGAACAATGCAACCTACACGAGCAAATCGAACGAGAAATCAGAGAACGAGAGGGCAAGAACCGAGCACAAGGCGCCCACCTGATCAACCGAGACGACGGTTCCGGTCTCGTTGAACCAGTAAGATTCCGGGCGCATGATTTTCACCTGTACATCCAACGGAAAGTGCTCAGTGACCCCGAGATGGTGAGACATTGCACGAGCGGGAGGGGCAGCACCGGGACTGACCACCCACAGCGACAGCAGACAACGAATGCCCAATTCCCTCTCGCCGGGGCGCCACAATTCCTGCCCCGCGCTCAATTCCTCTCATCATATCCGTCAGTGCAATGGCGGCACGGCACTCACAGTGGATCCACGCTTGGGGCCGAAGGGTGGGGGAGGGGCGGCCTTCTCGGGCGCGGCAGCGGGGGCAGCCGCGGCGGGCTCCGCGGGGGCATCGGCGGCCCGGATGGTGAACCTGGGGAACCTCGCAGCTCCTACGCGCCTGATCTGCACCCTGGTCTGGCTAACGTTGCTGCTCAGCCCCGCGGCGGGCGCTGCCACCATCGCCAACATACTCGACGCTGCGGCTGCCATTGCGCTGGATTCCGAGCTCTCCTACGGCTTCCCTGTTCGTGCTTTTCGACCGACGAGCAGCAGCGTCAACAACAACAACAACGAGCACAACAACTCAATCAACAAGAAGACCAACGAGCAGCGACGCGGTCCCTCTCGATAAGAAGGGCGGGCGTTCGGAGAGTGCTCGAGTTGGGAGGTTGGCAGTGAGCGCCGACGGACTATTGGTTTTGAGAGGGCTGATCGCGCTTCGACGTTTCGTGGCTATGGCCAGCGCCGGGTTGGCGGGCTGCGGGCTGCGGGCGAAATCCCTCCCATTGGCCCGACTCCCGCCTCGGGCAGCCAGCTCTCGGTCTCATACGCAGGCTCGCCGAACCTCGGATTGGCCTTCCTGCCGGGCCGGGCAGCGGGCAGAGCCTGCCTTATCTGTGACCGCAAGTACAGATTGGTAGCCGATTATTGGCTCGTGCGGATGGGGCTATCATTCATGGATACGGGCGCCGGATGGCAGCCTGTCCCATGCTCGCGAACTCTAACTCCGCCATGTCACCATCGTTCACGGCATATCCTCCTCTAAATCCGACGCCGAAAGTGCCCTCCCCCAAACCCACGGGATCCCCATCGAGGGAGGAGTCCTCCCGCCTTCTTAATTTCGTGCCTGAGACATCCAGCGAACGCGACGATCCATGACAAGTACAGAGGTATGACGCTCTTGTGTTCCTGGTGTGCCTGTGTAAGCTGAGTACGGGGGACTAACCTAACCGTAAAAGTCACAGTCAGTTGTCGATTCGATTAATTCACAGTTCTAATACTTTCTGCTGCAAGATAGATTATTCGGTTATTTGAGTCTTTTGTTTATCAGAATCTTTTTGAGTTTTGTTTTGAGTATTGACACATGGTGAAAAATGTCTTCAAATTCCAGAATTTCAGAATCTTTTTCCCAAAAATAATTTCTGATGAAGAGAAAACATAGTGGTTCATTTCTATATTATTATCTTTTACTATGTAAGTATATGGTTTTTCGTTTGATTTTTATGACATTTATTGCAATACAAAGATAGACAATGAAGATAAAGTAATGCTAGTTTCAGATACCAAAGCCATCGCTTCGCACAAGATGGTATGTGAGTCTTCTCTTTGTATATGGTATATGGGGAAAAAATTGAGGTTGACTGAAGAGGATTAATTAATATTAGATCAAATAACTGTTTGTGGTGGATTCCATGCATGAGGTTGTGTGACAATATTGTTGGCCACTTGAGTAATCTTGGACATCCGTATGATTTGCTTGGTACTACAAATGGATTCCGAAGGCCGAAGGGCTCTCCCCGGGGAGACCGGGGCCCCCTTTGAGAAAAAACTTTTACATATGTATTTACTTACTATACTTAAAACTTAGAACAGGACTGGATCTTTATTGAAATTAATACTATTAATAAATATTTTATATTCAACATATTTTATAAACAACATTGCTTTTAATATAAGAGAATAATAAATTGATGATATTTAGTTTGTCATAACTAAAATTGTGAAGATTGAAATAGAAGATATCAAATCTATTCATAGTGGATAATTTACGGATGACACATTAACAATCAATGTGATTGTTAAATGATGATTTGTGCTTAATATGAAGCAACACTTTCATAAACATGTATCCATGCTAATATCAGTCACATCATCAATACACCTTGATCTTTTTTGAAAATCTATCAGTCCGTTTATGTGACAAAATTTATGAAAAAACTAAGCTGCCTATTGCTTTATCCATATTATATAGTTTTATTATAACGAATAATACAGATTGTGAGTGTTCCTAGTTATTTGGCATGCATATGACTGCTTTTCTACCAAAATTGCTTTTGTAGTCTTACAAATCAAGATGTTAAAATGTAAAATCTGGAATTTGAAGACATTTTTCACCATGTGCAATCTTGTAGTTATATATCTCTACATGATATATATGACCTCCAGTCAATGCTTATGTATGTTAAATTTGCTCTTTTGCTTCAAAAAATATGTCTCACATAATTTACATCATGCATTTGAAATGACACATAAGTTTTCATATTTAAAATTTTATGTACTAAATAAATCAAAACTTTTTTATATGCTTTGATCATGCAACATTTTTAGCAAGCCTTACATTATCTTCTAAAATTCAAATTTTTGTGCAATGCTTATATTTGTATGCATGCTGACTTATAAAAAATGTATAAAGGTGTAAAGCAAATGTACATATCTACAAATAATACGTAATAACTTAGACTTTTGCTTGATTGTACATAAATTTAGTTCACTTGCATAACTGGGTTTTTGAACGATGATGAGAGTTTGTACTGATTGGATTCATGATTCCACAAGTTTATTGGATGTGTGATTAATTGATGACACATTTTAAACTGAATGACAATATTCATTAATGCAAATGCCGATGTTTGATACAAAGTTATACTTGTTAAAAAAATCAAACTGTATTGAAGTTAAACATAAACAAATCATACACTTAGAGTTTAAAAAAAAAGAAATCTATCATTTTTTTAATATGAAATAAATGTAACTATAGCTTAGGCAATACATTTGTTAAATTTAATAACATTCTAATCACATGTTGATATGATTGTAACTTCTAATAAATTCATACTTTAATGCATATAAGCTACTTATGCTATTGGTTATCATTGAATAAAAATTTAAAATAACAATTACAATCATTTTTTATAGAATTAATGTATATATACACATATAATTTATTTAAACATATAAATTTTTAACATAATTGAAGGTAGTATATTTCAATGTATTTTGAATTCTAAAAGCTTATAAATGTATACAAGAATTATATTGAATGTCATATTTCAATTATTATATATAATCGAAAATTTGTGAAATTGCATTCAAAACTTTATTGAATGAATATTTTTGTAAATAATAATATGGGTATATTATTTCTTCAAAAAAATGATAAAACATATTTTTTGTCTTTGATATCAAAGTTGAAATATATACGATTTTTTTTTCATTTGTACACTTATATGTTTGCTAAAATTTTAATGTAAGAACAAATTTTAATTAATTGATTGCATAAATTTAAAAATAAAATATGATTGATTATATACTTAATATTCAAAAAATAAAATAATAATGTTTGAAATAATATAAAAAATAATTGTGATTAGCATTTTTTGGAAATTTTTTTATTCTTATCTGGAAGATTTATTGTTCATACCAAAGCTTCACTGTTATCATACTATGTAAAATCACAAATGAAAATTGATACAAAGATAATTATTTTTTATGAATTATAAAAAAATAATTTACAATGATTACAACAAATTGTTAGTATTAGGTATTTTAAAAATATATTTATATATTAAAAAAACTATTTTTATTACACACATCTTGAATAAACTTTGTAAGCCTAATCTCAATAGCATAGGTTAGTTAGTCATCAAAATATTTAATAGATGCTATTGAAGATCTAAGTTACATAAACTTGGTAAAGATTATCAATAAAATAGTTGCCTTTGTAACTGTAGCTTCATCAAGTTTAATTGTGTAATTTATATTTGTTTTATATTATTTATAAATAAATTAAAACTAAATATAAAATATTGTAAGCTTTGTCATAATTAAATTTAATCAGTTATGAATAAGTTTAAATATTAATTTTATATTAGAAAAATATTATTTACAGCTTTTTAAAACATGAAAATCATTTGTATTTGCATTCATTATCAAAATTTAGTTTTCCAATTGATTTTTTGTTAAACATCATGTCCATTTTGATTAGATAATTTAAATAGAGTAATTTCATTAATTAGATTAAAATGTAAATTTGATTTAGTGTTAAGTTGTTTTTATAGAATAGTTAAACTTTCAATTACATGGCGCCAACTCAAGTACAAACAATGAAGCTTTTAGATCATCTAAATAGTTCAATAACATGTTGTCATGTATTTTTCAGCATGCAAATTAGTGATTTTGGCTAAAATTGATTTGTATGAAAGTAAGTTGTATACTTTATGTTTAACCATGAATGAAAAGTTTAAAATAATTAGTCGATTATACATAAATATGCATGTGGTTTTTTCATATTTGAAAATTATGAAAAATAACAAAAAATACATCTAAGATAAATTTAAATCATAGTAATTTGAAAGTCACAAGTCAGGCTAAGCAATTTTATGAATAATAATAATTGATGTAGTTGGCAATATTCAAGATATCACATCAAATGATAAAACAAAATCAAATAAATTAATTGTAATATTATCAAATCAATTAATATAGCATACATATATTGAAATTATGATATCAAATCAATGACAAAGTATTGATTTGGAAAAAATAAAGTCTTGAGTAAAATATTAAAATCAAGCGGATTTTGAATTGATAATGAATATATTTATTTATAATTGGTTTGATCATTAGCCAGACTGATGATGATTTCAAGTGAAAACACATTTGATTCATAATAGACGGATTATATGTTTTTTGTCATGTAAGCAATCTGTGTGGTTGGTAGGTAAAAGTTATATGTATTTGTTGACAATAATATATAAAAAATTTATATGCTAAAAAGATTAACTGTGTTAATTAAATATTATGAATTAACATCATATGTGTATATGGGATATATACGCCATGTCATATATACACTAAGAATATAATGAACAATAAAGGTGAAATATTATTTTTTTTGCACATGTACATAATATATATGTAAGTAAGTGTAAAATTATTATTAGTATTTTTAATCTTAGAAGTTTTAGTTTCATTTAAAAATGAATTTTTGTTTTAATCTCTACTGTTATAATGATACAAAAGCTACTTTGTTTTAGAAGGAGAAACAAAGTAGATTTAAACAAGAATTCATTTGTAAATTTTTGTTAAAAAAAAAACCAAATTAGATTTAAACAAGAATTCATTTGTAAAATTTTGTTTTGATCTATACTGTTCTAATTATACAAAATCTATTTTGTTTTAAAAAGAAAAAAAAGTAGATTAAAACAAGAATTCATTTATAAATTTTTGTTATAATCTCTATTGTTATAATGATACAAAAACTACCTTAAAAAAATGTATATTTCACAAATGGTTCAAAATCATATATGAAATTGCAAAAACGTGATATAACACTAGTGTTTAGAGAAAATTGATCGCGTGACTTGAGTGATGAAGTCACATATGCAATTGATATTTGTGATTGTTTATTACAATGAAATATAAGATTTTATAATTTATGAACTCTACAAATTTTTTGATAGATTTAAATCGTAAATCAAAAGTTATGATTTAATTCAACATATATATAATATTTGACACAATAAACCAATAAATGAAATGTGGAGAACTTTGTTTTCATAACTTTTTATAGTATGATTATTTATACATTTTTTGATTATCATTTTGAAAAAGTGTATTATCATCATACTGAATTCATATTTAAATAACATGTGACAATGCGAACCACAAAAAAAAATTTGCATCAATTTTTTAGGCTGTGATCAACATCTATCAAATCATGTAACCATGTCAACATGAAATGTTAAAAGTCAATTCTTGGACATGAGAATAGAGACATTGTCATTAGAAAATTTGTCAATGCTTAAGATGTTAGAAATTAAATACATGTTTAACCATACTTCTAAAGTAAATTGTCAACATAACGAACATCTATCGCTTCATAGTTAAAAATTGTTCAAGCATGAAGATCTTTACAATCACATTAGACAATGCTTCACAAGTACAAAATGTGAAATTGGCTATAAAATTAAACACAATACACAAACATGTGCTCAACGTGTTGTTATATCATAGGAATCTTTACAATAGTTTCTGTTAGTAATCAATAGTAATGGTTTTTGAAATGTGTACATGATGCAATTGATTTTCACACATACAACACACATAGTTGATTCTAATTGAATTGAATTGAATTTTGAACTACATTATAGATATAAAAATTTACTAAATTTACATAAATTTTAAGATTTACTAGTTGAAATGATATGAGTATTTTGTCGAGATTTAGATTTTATAACAAACAAAGTAACTTTTGTTTATCATGAATATGTCTGAAAATACTTACTTTTCAGAGATTTATATATATTAATCATATTGATCTGAAACAAATTAAATGGAAAATTATAAACACTCAAATTTTGAATTTTCAGTTCAAAATTTCTTAATTCTTTCAACAAATTTTTATATTTCAACTTTTTTAAGAGAATCAGGTTGAAATTGTTGAAATGATATTTTCACTATCAAGTTTTTGATATCAACATTTAATAAAAGAGAAATTCTAACCAAACTAACTCCGACATGAACATAAACAAATTTAGCATTGTCTTTGACATCAACAATATAAGAGATATTCTAAATCTGATTTGTGATCCCAACATATACAGATTGTGCATTATCGGTTACTCTTCCATTACAAATCAGCACTAATTCAAAATCACAATAAGCACAAAGATTTCTCTATACAAAATTCCATCACATTGAACTCATTTCTGGAAAATAGTGAATAAGTCACAAGTCTTTTGACTAATCAAGTCTGATCTCAATCTAGATCCGAGATCATTATATGAAGAAGATAATATGTCTTACAGATTAGAGAGATTTCAGAAGTATTTGTTTTCTTGATTGCAAATGTGTGTAAAGACAATCTTAGGTATTTTAGATTTCAAAACGGTTTACATCATTTAGGAGATAATCTTGACTAGAGTTGTTGACGTATCCGATGTGTATGTCATAGTTTGCTGACAATAGTCTTCACTATCTCGATAGCATGTCATCTGAAGGTAATTGAGGTCATATGACGTAGATTCCTTAAATTGTAAATCTTACGTCAAAATGCTGATCAATCAATCTTAGGTGTATTTCTCTTGTATACGTTTATAATCTCCATTTATGTCAATCATATGAAGTACTCTGAAATCTCTAATCAACCACAAAACACATGGTGTGAAGTACATGGAACCAAAGAGCAGCAAAACCATTTATCGTTTTACACTATTTCATTGAGCGTACATGACATTGATATGGTAATCAAAATCTGGAAGTGAGTATAGATTTACTTAAGGTCTAGCTGATTAACGGCTGTACATTTACGAGGTGAACACTACAATGATTGCCTGCAAGTAATTAACATACATCGTACATGCTTCATAGCTCTCGAAAGTGCCTTTCCAGACTTGAAACCTTTCATTTATACCACAAAATTTTGAGACTTGGACGATATAAATGTTGTGCTATTTCCCTCGAATGTCAGTTGTGAGATAAAAACTCAATAGCTGCCTGGGCTTATCTAACTTTTTCTTCACGATCAAGAAGTCACCAGATTGGGTAAAAACTGGTGATGACCTCGAATGTACATGTAGACCTTGTTGATCACACACTTGCACGCAGTTGCAGATCAGATATTCATTCGTCTACGCGTGCTACTACTATTCACAAGCAAGATTTGGAACTATCTGCGCGATCTCATTGAACTATGGCTGGAATATCTGGTGGAGCATCTTTCCCAGACTTTCCTTTCAAATCATCAAAATTGATCCCTTCAAACTTGGGCTTAGAGTCGACATATCTTGTCCCGTAAGCCAGACCAAAACCCCATCCAAGGCCTAGGCCTACACCACATCCTCCACCTATTTCATCATCGAAACAACGTAGAACGAATCATCAGATTCAATAAAACAGTGACAATTCAACAGTACATGTAGAACGAAAAGAACAAAAAGCTTCTAGCCTCATGACATCAACTCTACTCTCTGTAGCTACAAAGCTCTCCTGGGAAAACCAAAACCTGTTATGAGGTCAAGGATGTCCGACAACTATGAGGTCTACGATTGAGATACAAGAATATGTTGAAAGCGGTGGAAGAACGATCATTTACTTCTGTATAACTTTCAAAGACTTACAATGCGTAGATCCCAACATTCTAGAGTAGATAGTAACAAAATATTCTCAATTGTCAGTCATACTTGCTTGTATCTATAGAAACTTAAGGGTTGCTTAAAAAGATGTCCGATCTCGCCTATTCCTTTATCAATGCCACAAAAGTACTATTCATTCCGGCCACTATTTTCACGGATGCAAATGCTCAAGCGTCAAAAAGAAACCTTCTCTAAATTGGGCAAGGGATTGAGTGTCACCTGCACCGATTCCAAGAGTTTGCAGAGAGGATCCTGTATTGAGAACATTCAATTCGTCAGAGTAGGTACACACTGTTCGACTTTAACAAAAGACGTACACACAAAAAGTCATTTCCAGATAAGACTTGATCAAATGCAAGGAGACAGAAGAGCGCAGATCCGCAAGATACAACCGCCGGACCCTCTATGTAAAGCTTAACCCGATGCATCGGAACTGCAAAACTATGATGTCTCTAAGTGTAGAATTCCACTGAAGAAGTCTACGAGTTCTAAGACAGAAATTCATTTATATCCAGAAGTTGCCGAAACGGAAAGCAGCGAGCAAAAACAACCGGGTTAAGGTGCAGGTTTTTAAGACAAAGCATGAAACATGGCTAGAACCCAAACTGAGTAAATTGACGGTATCCAAGGACACATCTTCATAGAGTATCCACAAGAGACGGCTGCCGGTGAGTTGTGGAAAAGGAAGAACCATGCAAGAGCACGTACAAGAGGCAGAAGATTAAGCTTGGTTAGAAGAAAAACGAGTGCATACGCACTGGCAGTTCATTGTGCAGTCATCGAATTGTTATCGAATTGGATGCCACAAGAGGAAGCAACGACCATCAAGAACATCTACCCGACGGGCATCACTCCATTGTCATGATCCCCGCTGCCTCATATGTGGGTACCGGGAAGAGGCTTGTGCAGTCAACCGGGAGTGGGTCGAGAATAGCTCAAAACCAATTGGCTATGGACAACTCCATAACTGTGGCCTAAACTTAATCTACATATTGTTTAGCAGCCGGGGTAGAACACATATGAGAAAAAGTACAGCCTTAAGATGGGATACCTCACGATACCTGAACTCAAAATCTCGTGACCCTCAAAAGGCAACGGTTCACAACAGGAGTAAAACAAATTCTATCTATTGGTTGCTTGAAAGGGCTCTGAGATACAGTACTTTGTCATTGCATCTTCGCAGTTGAAAAATATCTATTCCCATTGAGTAACGTGGATCCAAAGTGTGTCAATGTGAGGTTTGATTCCAATATTGCCTGCAGTGCAGGCAATATAGTCAATAGGCAGTGCAGATAGTAAAGTATTCATAATGTTCTTCTTTGAGATCTCCACTCCTTTGCCACGGCAGAAAACTCACTCCGGGGGCACTTTCGATTCCAGTCAATCACAGTCCGTGAACCTTTTGCACTCACCAAGTTTCACTATGTCCAAGATTTTGCCCTCATGGGGCATGGTGGCATGTCTGAACCATTCCTACTAGAAGAAAATTCTTGTAAGTAATGATTATGTGCACTCAGATCTAGCTAAGTGTTCTTATGCATCTAACAAGCTTGTCAATACATACTGTGCGCACTGCAGAATTTTCAGATAATTATTCCTGTAACGATTGTGAAAGTACAAGTAGTATTTGCCCCGCTAAGAATCTCAATGAACCATACTTATCTAGTAAACAACACAAATTCTGCCTGGTAATGAAATAAGACCATCAGACAATGCACTAAAATTGAAATTCAAGTTTGTTGTAAAATGAAGATCCTGTTTTCCCATTCAATGGCAAGGATTCCGTCAGTCAGTACCAATATCCACGTGGATTCGAAGGCACGAACATTTGCAAGCAACTTAACTTTATATCACAATATGAAATTACGTCTTCATTCCTTTAGGTGTCCGAGAAGGATAAGAAGAAAGAGAAGGGAGAAGCTCAGGAGAATCGAATCAAGAATCAAGAATCGCAAAAATGACTTACTTTAGGTGGACCCCCAGTATTTAAAAGGGAATCAGGGCGAACTTCTTCCAAGAAAGACAAAGAAAACTCAATAACAGGTTAACTTAACTCTATGACGCATTCATGCGAGAAAACATGGAAATTTTTACACATATATCTGGAAATCACAGTAGAAGTAATATTGTGGTAAGGGGTCTTTCTCTTGTGCGAGATAAGCCGAAATTCTAGATAAGGGAGTGAACTTCAGCGGATAAAAATTCTCTGAACAGGGCAGAGGAGACAGAAGGTACCTCCGAATCCCCACCCGACTCCGAATCCACAACCAGCACCAAATCCTGCGACACGGAAGAAAATCCAAGACGATGAGCTCCAAGAGGCCGCAAGCAAATTTGCAATGGCAGAATGCATTCCCTTCTACAATAAACAGCTCATTCCTGCACTTGCCAGTCGCCGTATACGAAATTTGAGAGGTGCTTCTTTCCAGGAGAATATCATCATCTTGTTCCATTGTTAAACCCCACCCGCCGCGGATGTGAAATAAACACGGCAAGTGGTCCTTATTTCACGCCCTCAGGCGCCGAAATGAAAAGAGGAGGAAAGAAAACAGAAGTAAAGCAATCGAAGACCAAGCAATCGTCCTCTTTCGCGAGTCTTTCTGTTTCGTGAACCCCAGCCCAGCTCGTTCAGATGCCTCATCTGATGCAAGAACGCCTACAGAAAGACATCAGCAAACATAAGGAACTCGCACAGAAGCTCGTACCAAATCCCACGCCGCGTCCACTGAACCAAGAAACCACCATTATGGGCAGGCAGTCGGCGGGCGGGGCGCAGAATTGCCTGTCTCAACGGCAGCAGTCGCTCTCTTCGCCCCAAACCATCACCTCGTCCCCGATCAAATCATATCAAAGGAACAAAGCCTTGTGCAAATGCCGCTCCCTGCTCATGAAATCTTGATCACGAATATCCAAGTTCGAACTTGTCCTCTGTCTCGATCGGCTGATCGGCAGGCAATGCAAGAAGCTCCATCGGGAGCGCCTCCACCTCCACCTCCACCTCCACGTGTGATGACGAGGAGGCGCTCGGCTTCATACGACCTGCCATTCCCTTGACTACCCGCTGTTTTGTCCCTATATTCCACAGTTGCTTCTGACGAGGAAATTCGCTCCCTAGCAACGTCTAATAAATCGTTGGTCCTGTGGCATGAACCAAGGCCGTATCTGCTGTATTGACTCGTTGATCTTGTTGAAATTTCTGATTGATTGTTTTTAGAAAGAGATATTCATGGATTGTCCGTATTTTTTGCATTGATAACTATACTTACTAGCCGTCTTTTCTGGTTTACCCTTACAGAAGATCAAAAGTATTGTTGCAACAAAATTAAATCTAGGTGACATTCGCACACGACAAATGCCACAATCGGAACTTTTATTTGGTTCTATATTTTTTAAGTGAACATGGTTATCACATCACATGATGTAATGATATCATATATAAATATCAAAATGTTAAGTTTATCAAACATAATTGAATCAAAATAGTTGGCAAGTTAGTCACTAATATCTCAAACCAATGTTGGACAACTTGTGAAAATTAAAGAAATTGTGACAAATCTACATATTCATGTGTATCATGTATCGATAATATACACATCGCTTGATATATCTCTTACTTCGTCAAGTAATGAAATACATGAACACAAATTTAGCACATTCAACGGAGGGGGAATGTCATAATTGAGACAACATTACTATGAGATGTTGAAGAATGGATTGAAACATCACCTCTGGTCAACATAGTGATTTGTCTAGATGAGTGTCAAGCTCAATTATAAGAAGAATGTTTTCATTTCCAACCTCCATTTCCATCACAATAAAATTCATCAAGTAATTTTCATCGTCATCATTTCCATCACGTTTTAAGTGTGCACTACATAAATCCAAAGTTATTATGGTAGAAATGTACCAATCATAGAGACATATAGTAATGAAGTGTGGAGCAAATACTATTTCATCATTTTTATGCCACCGTATCAAACGATGTGGCTGGAACACAATTTGTGATGGTCACATCACAAGAAATACTAATTTCAAAGTAAAAGTGCCCAATTATGAAATTTAAAATAAGAAAAAGATAGTCCGAAGGGAGATAACGGGAGAAATAAAACCCACAGAGTTTAAGGCTGCAGCATATTACTCCTCTCTTTGGCTCGTAATATGCTGCAACCTCAAAAGCAAAGCTCTGCCACAAATTGCAACACGTCATATACCAAATCTGGTGGCCCGGCCCGTGATCTCGAAACGGAAGAGTCCGACGGATTGAATATCCTGCCAACACTTTTTACGTCTGCATCCATCCATCCATCCATCCATCCATCCAGCTGGATACTACGGAAAGACGCTTGTCTCGTCACTCCTCGTCGTCGTCGCTTGAGCTGCTCGCCTAGGAATGTCCGCGGGCGCGGAGCCAAGCACGCGAGCGAGTCTTGGACCGAAGGAGGAGCTTGTTGTCCAAAGATCGACCGGAGTTGCGAGCGGATGATTTGCCGGCACATTGCCTCTGGCAAAGCGTTTTGGGATCGCCATGAAGTTTCGGATTTCTCAGTAGCTGGTGCGGTATTGCCCTCTGACTCTCTCGATGGCTTTCTGAATATATTTCCGTGATTTTGATCAACTTGAAGGTTGCTCTCCTGATAATTGTGCGGTGGGTTTGCAGGTGTGCTGGTGAACAGTGGAGATTGATTTTGGAGCAAAACCTGCATTTTCTGGATTACTAATTTGCTCTCCGATATAAATGGCAACCAATTTGAATTTGGTTCCGGGAGATCGTGTTGCGGCTCGCTCATTTTCAGCAAAACCGAGAAGCATTGTACAGCGTCTCTCCTCACAATCTTCTGTCAGCTTGGGCGTGCGGATCTCTCAGCCATCCTCACAAAATGTCCACAGAGATGCTCGAGTCAGGAGAATTTCAGCACAAGCCACAGAAACCTCTTCGACCACGACCAATGATGATCCTTCGACTTTATTCGACTCGCAATTGGAGGGCAGCAAGAGCCCTTACCCGGGTGGATTAGGACCTTACACGGGAAGAGACCCAAATGTCAAGAAACCAGCCTGGCTCAGGCAGAGGGCACCGCAAGGAGAGCGCTACACTGAATTAAAGGGGTCACTGTCCACTCTAAAGCTCAACACTGTTTGTGAAGAGGCTCAATGCCCAAATATTGGCGAGGTAATTTTTCAGTTGTACTCGCTCATCTGGTTTCTCCTCTTATACCGCAGGAGGTGTAGTGGTAAGTGTGTGGGTTTGATGTCCATTGTAAGCCGTACTGGAGTATGTTATTCTCTACATTGTTATGGGAACAGTAATCAGCTTAGATATTGGGATGTAGAAATCTTGTCACTGTAAGAATAATCGCACCAGAAGAAATGAAACTTGCTCTACTAAGGGGCATGCCGAATTCGAATGTCGTTGTATTCTTTGCAACAAAGGTACCAGGTAGTTTTGTTTTGTTCATATTTTTGACGATGAGTCTAGTCACTGTGAAACTTGGAACATCGAAGATGACCGTACATGTAGCTTCCAATGATGGAAGGGTTTGATTTACTCATACATCTCACTCCACGCTCAGGACGAAGATACTTCCTCTGCAATGAGACTGTGAATGTTATTAGTGTTAATAATCAGTACCAGCCTCGGTCAATAAGCCGCGAATTATCTGGTTATTTATACGTTCTTGCTACGCTTCATGACTAGAAGCAAGCGTCTTAATAGTTATCTATGTGTTGAATCTTCGGTTCAGTGCTGGAACGGAGGAGGGGGAGCTGGTGGAGAAGGAGATGGTATAGGGACTGCTACTATCATGCTACTTGGAGATACGTGTACACGTGGATGTAGGTTCTGTGCGGTGGCTACCAGCAAGAACCCAGCACCCCCAGATCCTTTGGAGCCAGAGCACACCGCGGAAGCTATTGCAAGTTGGGGGTGAGTAATAGTATAGTCCGAGTGGTAGAACAACATCTTGTAACACAATATGCTGAGAAGCAGAACAAAATTTTGTTCTGCTAACATAACATAAGTAGCAAGGTTCATGAAAAGGAAAGGCAATGAACGACGTCGACGGGGGACTTATCAGGTCTATGGGACACCTGATTTAAAACTACCCTTCCATCAGGTCTTCCGTTTGGTTGTAAAAGTTTCCATGTTAGAACTGGGTAGATTCTACCTGCGACAGGGGCTCCCCAGTCGCGAGCATCGATTACAATGCAACATCACTTCGGGAGTGAAAACCTGCTCTAGCAAGTCGAAGTAGTCTCTATCTACCTTCTCGCATTGTGGGAGATAAATGTTCCTGATCAGGCATGCAGAAGTTGGATTGTGCAAGTTCTTGTATTTTGATTTCTATCATATCCACACATACGTCGGCAATGCATCTAGTTCTTTGGAGAATTGACTTTCCCAGTTGTAACATTTCGTTGGTTGTTTTAACACTCAGGGTAGGGTATGTTGTGCTCACAAGCGTGGACAGAGACGACATGCCAGATGGTGGTAGTGATCATTTTGCTAGAACGGTCAAAACTCTGAAGGTGGGACGAATGCTATGATGTTTCATTTTTTCCACTAGAGTGACGGACTTTCGCGTATGCACGTCTACGGTTTCTCCCCGTGGATTTATGATATCGATCATTCCCAATTTTTGTGGCAGGCATTGAAGCCGGAAATCTTGGTGGAATGCTTAGTTTCAGACTTCCGCGGCGATCTGTCTGCCGTGGCGCACGTTGCCGATTCAGGTCTCGATGTTTTCGCCCATAACATCGAAACTGTGAAAAGGCTCCAACGTATAGTGAGAGACCCACGAGCTGGGTAAGTTACATCTACCGAGCACATTTTCCTCCCTGCCTTGACTTGTCTTGCCTCCTATATCAGAGTCAGGTAAACAGTTTTCCATTATGAAGCTGATCTTTATCAGTTTTCTCATATCGCCTGCAGTTATGAGCAAAGTATGTCTGTGCTCAAACATGCTAAGGGAGTCAAAGAAGGAATGGTGACAAAGTCTTCCATCATGCTTGGCCTTGGGGAAAGCGATGATGAGATTAAACAGACCATGCAAGACTTGCGTGATGTTGGTGTGGATATTGTCACCCTTGGCCAGTATTTGCAGGCAAGTTTTCTCAAAATGTTTAGGAGATTTTTACTCATCTTTGAAATTTTCCAAGTTCCTCTTTTGTATGTTCCCCTACCCTAGTTACGCTAGAAGTCTACAACTATTATTCGTCGCTCACGAAATTGAATGAAACTGTGAACCTTGCAGCCGACTCCTCTCCATTTGACCGTGAAAGAGTACGTGACTCCTGAAAAATTTGATTTCTGGAAGCAATACGGTGAAGAGATTGGCTTTCGATATGTTGCAAGTGGCCCTTTGGTAATTTATTCTGAACTCAAAATTTCAAAATCTTTCCCTGATATGGCTTGTATCTTTATTGCTATTGCTTGAAGTCACGTCTCTTGCTCTTCCAAGCTATATGTTGTGTTCCTTACTCCCTCGGAAATGAGTTTCTTTTCACAAGTAAAAGCATATTATTGACTCTTTCATGTGATTTTCCTATGCTGTAGGTAAGATCTTCATACAGAGCAGGAGAGTTTTTTGTAGAGAGTATGATTAAAGAAGATCGGAAGAAGGCTGAGCACTTAGCTTGATGATCACCTCCACCTCCAACATACTTTTGGCAGATGTTGGTTTCTTCCATAAATGGTACTGCGAAGTCCAAATTCATAAGATAGCAGTGTAGAGATCTTTAGAATGTTTGGCCACATTGGGGGTATGTGTTTCCTTTCATAGACAAGATAGCAACTACATTGGTTGCAGCTTATAGAAGTATACCCTCCGATTTATATGAAGTCTCTACTTTGAATGAGTTCCTTCAGCCATGATCCCTCGTTGGGATGTGCATCGAACATTTGCCTCACTTTCATTTTTAGTACATGTTGATGAGCTGCCTCTCGCTTGCCCCATCAGTTGGTGAGAGATTATTTCAAAAGTTCTTGTCCCTAGTAGTGTGAAGTGCTTGTAACAAACTTGGTATCTACAAGTCTGAAATCTGCGAAGTAAATCGTCACGACACAGTATATCTTTTCTGAACGTTAGATCTGATTTCCTTTTTGTCGAAGGACTCAGGACGATTGAGAGAACTACTAGGGTTAGACACCGTCAGACACTTCAGCCAGGTAACTTTCTTTTGAATACAATTTAATCGGTGTTTGGTGAGACTCAACTACAGCTCCATTGTAGGTTAGAAGTTCGGTGCAGCGATAGCATGTGCATGCAGACGCCAGTGACAGGAGTGATTAGGTTTCTTAGCAGCTTTCATTATGGGGTTAATGTTGCCACGGTTCATCTCCACATATCACATAGTTTCTCATGAATCTCTGCTACAATATTGTTTGCGGAATTCGCCACTAGCAAAACTTACATCCATCTGAATATGCTGATGAATATGTCGATCACAATGTCAAGCGTTGGTAACATATTACATGTGCCACATCCACTAACAGCTAAGAAGTTGCGTGGTTACGGGAGAACTCTGCATGAATCCATGATGCCAAAAAAAAATTACACTTACCTAGGGATAACGAGTAAACTACTGCCTAAGGAATATGATACACATAGGCATTAACTCGGTCGAATAGATATAGAAGAAATTTCAACTTCAAACAAGTTTATAATTTAACGATGTCACAATTGAAGTCTGCAACGTTTTAACATCTCTTGAACTCTGATTACTATGGTACATGGCATAATACATGTCTGATAGGAACTGATTCTATTCTTGGAATATCGTTTCCATCTCCTCCCTGAAATCTGTAGCAGTTATGTGGCAATGAATTGCAAGGAATGATAAGAAAGCAGTGGGAGCGTAATGTGACCTGGTACACTGATGTCCTCCTCTATTCCAAAGCAGTACAAGAGACTGTCAGATACAAAACCAATGAAATGTTACGATGCATTTGCATCAGTAGTCTCATTTTACTAAAATAAATAATGAACGTCAGTTAAAGAGCATAACAATAATTTCCTCTCTTTGCAAGTTGTCGTCAGTAGCTGTTTAGGTTGTGCAAGTTGTCATCATTAGCTGTTTACGTTGTGCACATGTGAGATGAGCAAGTTAGAGCCGGCAGTGCTCTTTACTTTCCCCACTCATTCATGGCAATGCATTAGAGTTGCAATTAAGGCAGATATGTCTCGAATCATACATACGACCCAACAGGTAGCCAATTAATTTTACTATAGAGTGAAACCCCTTTAGATGAGATTGGAAGAAAGAACATACTGTATGGTAGAATGTAGGCTCGGTATAAAAATGACATTTTTGTATCGCATAGTATATATGGTGAACAGACAACTTAATTCTCATATAATAAATATAATGAATATGTACTTGAGAGCGGTAACTAACGGAAGATGTTCTTTAAATTTACTTGTATTATTGCATAATATTATATACACCATGATTCCAGAAATGAAAATGATGCATGTTGTATTATGTACATATGTCTAACTAAAATTCTTGGCTGTTTTACAAATTATGATAGAGTTTGAAGGTCATACATGATTTAAAAGATATATGTAGCTTTAGTATAATATAAAAAGATGAAAACTCTAAGATGAAAATGAAAACGAACATAGATATGATATCAATCTTAAAATAATGTGATGTGAAAAAAAATACCTGAAGATACGATGAATATGAATATGTATTATTATCTGAACCCAAATGTTTGCTTTGTCAAATGTTATGCCTCATGTTGATGTTAAGCTGTTAGGACTTTTTCTTGAAGAGGTTTGCACAAGGATTATTTTTTCTTCTTGGACCATAGTCAAATGGTTGATGCTAAAAATCGAATTGTTGCCACAAAGTTTGAGAAATACTTATTAGTCAATGCCAAATTTAATCGTTCAGTAATTATCAGAGTTGGTAGGAAACAGGCACATCTTACCTGACGGCAATACAGTTGCATTGACAGGCATTCCTAACTGAAAAAAACCGGCAATTATAGCTCGGTTAGGTTTTTTTATTGTTTGGATTTGTTAATAGGAGCTAATTTATTAGGAAAAGATTTACATAGTTATGGATGGTTAAATTAACATTAAATATAGATATTGAAGTATATAGAAATATATTTGATTTCAAATCGTGCATTTATAGATGAGTTATTTAATAATCAAAAAATCTCAAAAAACTTGGGCGGGGAGGGGATCAGAATTATCGATAGGGGATATCGATAGGGCTGGCTCTGAGCCATTCTTTTGCCCAGAAACAACAAACAAATGATCATCCGAAACAGTTACGGAGGTGGGCGGAGCGGCATCGAGTGGCATATAAGTCAGGAAGCACGTGATTCTGAAGGCTGTGGAAAAAGGTTGTGGAACTCGACCTAAGGAACTGCAAATCATTGCGGCATACGACGGCGGCGGCAGGCGAAACGGGCCAAAAGTCGTCCGTCCGGGCCACGTGTGATCATTCCTTCTGATTGGCGCATGTGCCTGAGCAGAAAATATTCAACGCTCAGTTCACTACCTGAAATGTACCGAATGCGCGATGGAAGAAGTTGGAAGTCAAGGAGCAAAAAACTGTGGAGGATGGTAGGTTTTCGAGCTGGCGTAATCATGACCGAAGATGCAATCGAGAGCGATGCAGACAAGGAGTGATGAAGAGTAGGCACGGTTTCGGATTGAGGACGATGGATGGATGGCGCGAGGAAAGACTGCTGTACTGTACCTTGTCTCTCGGGACCGTCCTGTACTGCAAACGCCACATGGTGGAGGAGGAGGAGGAGGAGGAAAATCGGACTCGGGCAGATGTGTACTGTGTGATTCATGCAGTCGGCCGATTGTGACGTCATGAGATAAAATTGATAATGAGTACGATGATAGCGGTGACGGCGGCGACGAGAATGATCAGCGAGTGCCACATGAGGAAGATGACGGGTAGTATGAGGAGTCTGTTACTATGACAACTTGCGTCGCAGGCCACATGCGAATTCTTCCCGTTCGAGTTGGGCGAGGAATTGCTTTCGTCCCCGAAGCCCGGTCGATTGCCAAATGGTTCGACTTCGACTCGACGATGTCCACGATGACTGAGTATGCGTTACAGTCTTGTCCAGGAATGATATTGCTCAGAAAGAAATTTCTGCTCGCCCTCACTTGGGTCGACAGCTTCACTTGACGGAGTGGTGACTGAGTGAGTGAAGTAGAAATTTCTCGTGACCGGTTTCGTCATTATTCTGTAGGTGGTCATTCAGTGCTGTGGGGGAGAAGGGGAGGCCTTCAGTGGCCCCACTCGGCCAGTGAGAACGGATTGATGACTAACTTCATTCGAGAATTTCGCAACTTCGGATGATTCGAAGCACCTGTGTAGAAGTAGAAAGAGGAAGCGTTTTGAGTGGGCGGAAGAATTATGAGAGAAATTCTTTGGCTCTTTTTTGGAGAGAGCAGGTAGAGACGGTGGATCAAGGATAGGATTGGAGGGGAGTATTTATAAATCCAATCGGAATTCGACACGACAGTGAAGACCGATAATTGTTGGGTTAATTGTGAAGCCATTCATGGCTGGCTGCGCTTGTCGTGCAGGTGACGCTCCTTGTAACCACTAACAATTTCTGACACTGTTAGAATTGGGAGTAGTATTCATTTTTTGCACATTCGACTGACACCGCAGGCCGAATATTTGCAGTCTAATTTTCTGGCAGAAAGTCGAACTGATTTTGACAGATGAGATTTCTCATTTGCAGTGAAGGAAGACTGAACGAGACCTGGAATTTTGGTGGTTACCTCAGAAGAGGTTGAAATGATTTTTGATTTGCACTCTGTCGTCGAAGAACTTGGATGGCTCCTCCGAATACAGGTAACGTACATATATTACTATTCGGCAGTTTCGACGTGCATTCACTGGGTTCATGAGATGACATCCGCACAATGCATGACAATACTTCCAGTGATTGGAAAAGTCAAGGCTGAAAGAACCTGGCTAACCTGATTTCTATACCTGTGACATGGCAGCTCGTGTTTTCAATATACCTCACGTTGTGGAGGAGGGTGAACTCCTCCAATTTTTGGAAGATGCGTTGGGGGAGAACACGATCAAGTCATGTAAAATCTTGCGGCATCAAGATTCGGGAAGATCGAAAGGGAAGGGATTCGTGCAGTTTAGAGACGGAAGAGTGATGGCAACAGCCCTTGAGATTTCCAACGAGGGGAAACTTTCAATATACAACCAAGATCTAAAGCTCTTAGTTCCTGACGACATACTTGTACAGCAAATGCCGCCCACTTACTTTAACTTGGAGCATTGCAAACTATATGTGGGATGTCTGACATCCAGTGGTACGATGTTATCTTTTTGGAGGTACGTTGGTAGTTTGAAGGTGGAAATTAACTCTGAAGAGGAGACTTTATCAATGCAATTGGGATTCACGGCAAAGGACTATAAGCTGGAATTCCCCTATAGTGAGATCTGGCAGTTGACGGCCGCACGTCTTAATGGAAGAAGCCAAGGATTTTTGGTACAGGTACGACTCCTTAAAGTGCCATCCTGACAGACTGGTCATCAACAACGCAGGGCTGCTCGATTTTGTTTTGTGCTTTTTGAAGAGCTCTTATGTATGACCTTCACCCGCGTGTTGGAGTGCCGCTCTTCTTCTTCTTGTATTAAATTGCTTTTGGAGGCTTGTTCAAGTTTTCGCTCTCTGTTCGGAATTCCCATCTTTTTACCTGTTTGAGTAAACGTCCTACAGTGTAGATGCAGCAATTATGTTACATAAGTTCTCCGTGAAGGCTGAGATGCTTTTTCCATTATTGGGGTGTAGGGTTAATATGAAATATATGAAGGAAGAAGAGGACGTGGAAATGCTTCTATGAACTGACGCTGACAGATTCAACGTAGAGGAACTGGTACTATCTTTCGTGAATGAGACATTGTGAGCACGATCTGCTTTCATTTCAGCTGTCACTAGTAGGTATGAAGATGAGATCTGAGATGATGTTTGATCTCTGACATCTCAAGCTCCTAATCAATCCATTCAGGAACTAGGATACAAGTAATATTTCGAGATATGGCAATGTGCAGGTAAGGGAGAGCCCGCCGTCTTTGTACTGTCGGCCGTTTGATCCTTCTGAGACAAATGATAAGTACGTGGATGTTTTCATCAATGGCTGCCTGTCGAGCAAACTCTGGCAGTCTGAGAGGGAAAGTTGGGGTAAAGTGTGGGTTCGCACCACGGACTTCACTGTGTCAAATGCAATCGGCCAATCTTCATCCTACGTAGTCGAACTCGATAATTCTGATTTGCCCCAAGATATTTCATCAGTCCTTTACCTGACGGGAATCTTCAGCCCAGTTCCTAGAATGTTTAGTATAGAGAAAGGAGTTCCATACGCTGCGTCTCAGGTGGTGGTGCCCATGGTCAACCCTGAAAACTTCAGGGTTCCTTTTGATGTCCTATATAAGGTAAATAATTTGATTCAGTTCAACAAACTGTGTGGGCCAACTCTGGATGAGCGGTTTTTTAAGCTGATAAGTACAGGTAATCAGTCTGCTGTGAAGTTGGCATTACAAGCTATGTCTACCCTCAACGAGGTTTGCTACGATCCAGTAAGGCTTCTGAAAGCAAAAGTGGACGAGATCAAGAAAGTGGCACCACCTGCAAACAAGCTCGAGAAGGGGAAGGCATGGATACATCGCCTTCTTGTGACTCCCACCAAAGTCTACTGCCTGGGACCGGAGGTGGAACAATCAAATCGTATCATTAGGCAACATCAAGATTATACTAGTCATTTCCTGCGAGTCAATTTTGTTGATGAGAACTGCAGTCCTCTCACAAGCACCGTACTCACATCAGATATGCACAGTGGTCATTCCGATGTATACAGGAGGGTCAAAGAAGTACTAAAAGAGGGCATCTTCATAGGAAGCAGAAAATATGAATTTTTGGCATTTTCCGCTAGTCAGCTGCGAGACAGCCAGATATGGATGTTCGCTGAGAAGCTTGCATCGACAGGAACTGAAAAGCCTGCTGTTACTGCAGATTCTATAAGAACTCAGATGGGAGATTTTTCTCAGATTCGCAACGTAGCCAAATGTGCAGCACGTATGGGTCAGTGCTTCTCTTCTTCCATTGAGACGAGGAAAGTGCTTCCGCTTCAGGTGAAGAAAATTAAGGACATAACTATCAAGACGGACGGCGTTACTTATTGCTTCTCAGATGGTATCGGGAAAATATCGCAAGATTTTGCCCGCAGTATAGCGGGTGCCTGTTGTCCGTCTGGAAGAGTCCCCTCGGCTTTCCAAATCCGTTATGGAGGTTACAAAGGAGTGGTTGCGGTCGATCCTCGTGCCTCATCTTCGTTCAAGTTGTATCTTAGACCTAGTATGCACAAATTTGACTCTCCCCACATGAGTCTAGAGGTTCTTGACTGGACCCGTGTCTTGCCCTGCTTTCTGAACCGTCAGGTCATATGCCTGTTGTCGACTTTGGGAGTGAAAGACCTATCGTTCATACATCTGCAGAGTCAGATGATTTCAGAATTGGAGAAGGTGGTGGAAGAGGAGGGTGGCCATGTGGCCAGGAGAGTCCTTGGCTGTAGAGAAAATAGAGCCGGTTCGATCGCTCTACAAATGCTTGAAAACGGATACACAGCGAAGACTGAGCCTCTGTTGAAGCGACTGCTGTGTGTGTTCAGAGAAGCCGAACTGCAGGAATTGAAGACCAAAGCAAAGATATTTGTGCCCAAGGGAAGGTGTCTGATGGGCTGTCTTGATGAAACCAAGACTCTCAAGTATGGGGAAGTTTTTGTCCAGATATCTGCAGCCTCGAAAGTTGGCGATATGGGGCATCATGCCCAAGGGCTTCACGAGGACACCTGTATTGTGACTTCGAAGGTTTTTGTCGCCAAAAATCCTTGTTTACATCCAGGAGATGTGAGGGTGCTGCAAGCAGTCGATGTTGCGAATCTACATCACATGGTGAACTGTGTTGTGTTCCCTCAGCTCGGTCCAAAGTAAGAACTAAATCTTGAGGTACTTTGACGGCATGTGATGTTGTAGAAAGCGTCATCAGGTGTGTATGTAACATCTTTCCTGTACACTCAGTAGAGTACATCGTGCTTTGAGTTTGACAAACACAGGTAGCGACATTGTGGAGTTGGCAACTTCTCTACATTGCTGCACCTCTCAACCATCCCTTATTGACTGTTATGATTGTAGATCGCGATCATATTCTAGATTTTCTTACCAATGAGGTTGTTGTGGATGTGTGACGTACACAAAGACCTCATCCGCATGAGTGCTCTGGAAGCGATCTGGATGGTGATATTTACATGGTGAGCTGGGATGCGAGTTTGATTCCGCCAACTGTAGAAGTCCCCATGGACTATTCACCACCTGCAGCAACCAGTCTCGATCACCCTGTCACAATTGAGGTACCCTTCAGCTCTGTAATCTCTATCTGATAAATGCTCACCGCTGGCCATCCAGTCAATGTGCTGTACATGGATTGACACGCCATGAGGAATATATGAGTTGTACCACTGAGAGAGTTTGGTCCTGGTGGGATTCAGATTTCTTCAGTATAGTTATCATGGGCTACTTGATTCTAACAATGATAATTGATTACTGAATGTCCGTTCACTTATCAAGAAACTCGATTGTTCCAAGTAAAATGAAATGCTTGGATTTGAGGACTCTCTGACACTTATTGTCTCGATTCTGGTATAAATTTTTCACGTTGTTTAGTAAAAAGTACCAGGACTTATCAACAATGTGCAGGAGATACAGGATTTTTTCTTGAATTATATGACGAATGATAACTTGGGTATCATCGCAAATGCTCATGTTGTCCATGCTGACAAGGAGATCGATAAGGCTCGCAGTGAAAAGTGCTACGAGCTCGCTCATCTTGCCTCCCTAGCGGTCGACTACCCTAAGACAGGAGTACCGGCCCGTATACCGATGGGACTTCGGCCCAGGGAGTATCCAGATTTTATGGAGAAGGAACATAAGGTAACATATATATCCAGCGGCATATTAGGGAAGCTGTATCGATATATAAAGGATTATCCTTCGATCCCCGAATGCTCGAAAGGCTTCGTCTCTCGTGATGATTGTATTAAGTTCTTTGACAAGGATCTGAAGATCTCAGGATACGAAAAACACATCGAGAGTGCCTTATTGCATAAAAATATTTATGACATGAAGCTGATACAGCTGATGAACCATTACGGTATACGGGATGAAGCGGAGATCATGGGTGGTCATGTGATATCTTTATCGAGAATTTTTGCGAGAAAGCAGATGGACGTTCTCCCCAAGGTTCGTATGGCCTTCGAAGTTTTGAAGCACGAGGCAAGGTCTTGGTTTTATGCGCGACGTTTGGAAAAGTCGGAAGCTGATGCAAAGGCCTCAGCTTGGTATTACGTTACCTACCACGAAGACCACTACGGCTATGATGAAAAGTTTTCCAAAGTTACTAAAACTAAAATCCATTTATTGAGTTTTCCTTGGGTAGTTGCGGACTTGCTTTTCGCTTTGAAGCAAAAAACAAAGAAACTAGACGACGGCATCTTTAGAACAGTAGAAAAGCATAGGAAGACCCCGATACCACCTGTATCTGGTTTTGAAAAAGTTTCATCCGCACAGGCTGGCCTTCCCAGTAAACGACAGAAACGGTGATAGGTAGCAACGACGGATTAGAGATTTTTTAGCGATGTAAGGCTTTGACACTTCAGCTGTTAGTGATGGAAATGAATCCAAATGATCTATTTTGTACTCATCTGAATGCAACAGGTGCGCTCCTATCATGGGGCGGAAGATGGTGTGTGCTATTCTGGATGCGGCCAGTTCTTCGTTAGTATTTAGCTCGGGTGGCATCCATTTTTCTCGTTTCAATCATGTCAACCCTTCCCAAGCTGCAGTAGTTCTTACACGATTGTTTGTATGTATTGTGTGTGAGCTAGTGAAGTGCGTCGTGGTTGACCCTTGGAAGGTTCAAATCTGCGGCATAACTACCACCATGGAAATGTCTTGGTTCGGACGTTATCCCGGAGTTCACTCCGCTACGTCTCTCTTTCACGAAATTAGATAGAGACGACTGTTTTGAAATAGAATAGCGTACTGGAACTATTGTGATCCGGACGTCTCTGTTTGGCTTTTTCGCTGCCAAATTACTCTCCACGATCTTCACCGTAACATTTCAATAACTTTCCTCGGTAGCTTCGATATCACCGATCTCGAAATTGTGATATTAAAGTTGTGAGTTAATATCACACCTTTTCCTGATGGATCTCAAATTGAGGAGTGTTGCCGAGAACCCTTCATTCGATTTTCGTTCCATCTGTTGGAATTACTGTTAGCATCTTCGATCTTGACAAACCACTCACGAATCGGGTACTGCTTAAAGCTTACAGCTCTGGCGCGATTACATCCTTTACATTCCATACCACCTTCTGGCTGTCTTAAATTTCAGCGACCTTTCTATTCAATCAAGTAAGACACATCAGTCACCTTGGTAGAAGCGACCCTTTGGTCGGCGAAGAGAAGAAGGCAGGAGTGGGGGAGAGTAATTACTCATTTCAGCATGTAGCTTTTCGGAGTGAGGTTGAGATACACAAGTATTAGTGCGCAGTCCGAGAATTGAGTAACAAGGAAGTAATAGAAATCTCTATCCAGCTTCGTTTGGCAGGAATCTTTCTCATATAATTCCAGGGTCTTCATACATGCACGTACAGCAGTCTCAGATAACTGTAATTGGCACCGTGTGTCACCGTAGAGCCAAAGTCCGCTGTTGCTCTCGTATTTATTGCTGAACATAGACATAAGATGTTCATTCACATTATCAAGTACTTTTTCTCAATTCATAAATAAATCTTATAGTATGATGCTAAGGATGTTCCCAGAGAAAGTATGATAGCATTTTGAATATTACAGTTATTTGTGAATTTATAATACCCATGTTCAAATTGATCATGGATATGTATAAAAAGGAAAGAAGTATATTAGGAGTGGTGTTTATAGTTTACACAGCAATTTGTCATATGAGTGAAGTGATATCATTATTCTAGGTCATTATTAGCATTAGAAAGATTGAGACACAACCTATTCTTTTATGGTTTAAGCTGATGTTTCGTTTATTTTGTTTTGTTTTAATTTTTTTGAGCTATTGATCAAAATTTATTCTTGATATTCTTGTGAACTTATATTCTTTCATCTACTTTTAACTACTCCACATGCAAGTTTGATATAATCGGTAAAATACAAGAAGTTATTTCAAATAATAAAATCAAAAATTGGGCCATTATTTCTAAATTCATACCTAGATTTTAAAAGTCTTATTGTGATCCAACTACAAATTCATATTTCTTTTCACCATATCTTTTATAATAATTATCTATATATACATTTCATCAAAATAAATAAAAAACATATTTATAATTAGAAAATGTTGTAAGCGTAAAACCTGAGAATCATCAATGACAAAGTTATCAAACCAATCTAACAACCAACACAAGAGAGACAAGTGTATAATGTGGTTCACACTCAAAATCTACGTCTAGGGGAAGAGCATCCTCAGATTATACTTAACTTTCTATCTAGTAATACACAGACCATGGTATATCACTTGAGTTTTATCGTCAATCTTGACTAGCTCAATCCAATAGAGTTTACTGTTGTACTCATAATAGGTGGCATTTGCCACTTTTTGGACTTTTTAATATACAGTGGTGTGCCACCTGAAAATGGCGCCACCTGAAGGTGCATTATCGCGAAAACCATCAAAATCAACATGAAAGTATGTGAAATTTGCGGTCTCATCATGTTCCCAAATGTAGGATGGTTGGTATTTTATTCTTGGTCGCGCTCCGGCTCCGCGAGAATGCTGCGCAGCAGCCCCGACTGCTTTGTTTGGAAGATCCCTTCCATGGAGAGGTTGGCTAAGGCTAGACGAATGGGATCGCACTCCCACTTGGCAATAGAGAATTTGCCCTCGACCGACGTGGAATTGTGGAAAACGTCAGCCAATTTACCCAAAACTTCATGTAAATGCATGAAACGGCCACCAACAACGGCTAGCACTCATTAAACCCGGTCGAAACCGTTTGCTTGTCGATGTTTTCCTTGAGCGCCCACTCATTTCGGTTTGTGTTGCAAAAGTCACAATGATCCTTCTAGACATTGTCGATATCAATTTCAGTCTCTGGAGACGCATGCCCAGCGGATCGAGTACGTCTGCAACGAAATGTTTATGAGAAAGGGACGCGATCTCTGCGGACATCAACGGAGGGGCCTCCTCGATTGATGCGTGATTGTTGTTGTCACGTTTGGACATGATCTCCGACATGTCAATCACCAGATCGACGATGTAGCGGGCAACTTCATGACTGACGATGATCTTGTCGTCGTCATTAAGCAAGTTTTATTGGTCTCGTGCGAACGATCCGTCGTGCTCCGCGATGAAGTCTGTAAGAGTATCGTATTGAATCCAACCGTCCGAATTTTGGTAGTATAGTGCCTCATCATACCCTTCTAGAAGCTCGTGGTCGTCGTGATGGATGTCCCACAAAGATATGACCAACGTGATGATGTTCAAAATCATGTTGCATTGCTACAAGAGAACAAGTAGGTTTCTTTGAAGCTTTACAAACAATTTGTTGATCACTTTAACAACTAACATGATGGAGCACCCGATGATCCATCATATGATCGATGATGCTTGATGATGATGTTTGGCGTCGATATAATAATACAGAAGTACGCAATGTTTAAGCATTCACAACAACATTGCGATGACATGCGTCCAACGATTCGTATCTTTGAATAGGTTGAGCCCATTTTGATGATGAGAATTGACTGAGCGCGCAAATACATTGAGAAAGCATGAGCGATAGCGTAGAACTGACTGTCCATGACATTGTTTATGCCCCTTCTCATTTCCAAGTCGAGTTGGTGGAACGCACACCAGATACGTAGAGTAGGTTGTCTTGCTCACAAGTTGCGTCGCGACGCCCGAAACTTGTCCTGTCATTGTTGGTTCGCCGTATGTTGTAATACCAAGAAGCTTGTCGCGCCAGCCATCTTACAGAGCGGTGAGCATTTTGATGATCTGTTGGCTGATATTGTTTGCCAAGTGGCGCTCAAAAAGTGGTAAGATGACTAAATGCAGGTTGTAAAGCATGTTGGCAATGCCGAGGCGGACGTAGATTTCAAAAAACGAGGTCCCACGGTGTGAGGAGCCATCAGGCAATGAATAATGCCCAAACAAGTTTGCGAGCAAAAATGGATGCCATGACGTGCAAGTTGATGCCAACTTTGACGCGGACGAACTGTCCGACATTGTAATCGTTGATGCCCGCGAGCAGCGGGTTCTTGCAAATCGTATTGTGCTGATCGCTGACACGAACAGTTTGCCGAAATGTTAGCCTTAAGAAGGTATGAGCCACAGAGAGCTCATACTCAATCACGTTCTTGATGACGAACTTGTATGGTGAGTCATGGGCAGCATCAACCGTCTTTCCAAAGAGTTTGAGGGTGTTTAACTTCGTGATGACCTTGCTCTCGTCGTCGTCCTCCATATCGTCCTCTTAATGCCAGACCAAATTCCTGATTACCACGTACACAATGGTTGGCTTGATTTCAAACTTCATGGAGTTGCTCTACTTCTCATAATAAAACCCAATTGTGTGCTTTTTGTCGCTCAAAAAAGCACACTTCTGTTCGGACAACATCGGTTGATATTTCTCCTAGATTGTGGGATGCTGCTACTTGATATACCACTCCTTTTGAAAAGGAAATTTAAAACAGGCTGGCGTTGCTTTCTTGCCCCGATGACGGCGCTTGCGCTGACGTTTTGCCTAGATCATCATGTTGTCTTTGCTCTACGACAAAACCTTGCAATAGTCTTCTTTGCCAGAGAGGACACAAAGCTGGCATTCAACCGCAGACACAACACTGGAGACATGATCTCGCTGGACAACTTCGAGCGCGAACTCATTACAATGTTTAGCCTGGAATGACGTCTTTTGTTTTGAACTCATCGAAGCTGTAGCAAAAGGCGAGCAAGAATCTACAAGCGGGAGCGACATATCAAAGAAGTGCTGTAATTACGCAGTGTGTGAATGAACGGAAAGTCCCTGTGGATTGCGTCCGCTGCGGAGTGCGGCAGGAACGGAGTATCTCGAGGAACTCAAAAAACACTTGATAAAAAGTGGCGTCCGGGTAGAGTCAGGAAGTGGCAAAGGTGGCGTCTAAAAGTAGATGCCACCTTTTATGAGGCCGGGTTTAGCGTCAATCTTGACTAGATCAATTGAACAGACTTTATCGTCAATCTTGTCTAGCTCAATCACATGCTCAAAAAATCCACTGATACTGGTGTTCCTTCTTGATCATTAATGACATAATGATTAAACTCTCCCTCCCCTTACCTTTCGTGAGCGGAGATTTCACCTTATCATGACAAAGAGCATAATAAGTCTCTCCCTTTTTCAATGATCTAGATCTCATTGAAAAAAAAATCCATAATGACAAGAACCTTACAAGCTACTAAATCTCATAGATTGGAATTCTACATTGATCAAAGCACATAATCTTGTACTCCTAGATCCAGATAACGTTATTGAGGTTAACTTCCATTAAGTAGTTACCTCACGTTCTAGCTACTTATAGATATGTTAGTTGCCGGTGTTTAATATTTATATCTTGGATCTATCATACATGACGTTCATTACAATCTCAAGATGCTATTTCCTCGTGGACA